TTTAAGGGAAGAGATCAGGTCTATATAGAGGTGCCAGTTATGATGCTTATGGATTGTGTCACTGAGGTGGTTGTTTTTAACACTGAATGCTTAATAGTCTCTGTGTCAGAAAACTACTGTTTGAAATCTTAGAGCTAAAAAACCATTTTCTAAATGGGTCTGGGAAAATCAGGAAATAAAATAGAACCTTCAGGGCATCCACCAGCTTTATTTTGTATTGAGTGTGATAGAAGTTCAGTTAAGCTGGCAGGCTGTCACCTGTATTTTTCCCTGTGTACTTGCCTTTCAGGCACACACCAAAGAATGACACAGTGCACTACAGCTTGTGTTAGGCTACTAATCTGTGTTGCTTTGCTGAGCAATACTTTTTTATATGTACACTCCCTTTAGGGAATAATTCTGCAATGAGGAGCTTTCCAGATATTGTAATGTGTCTTTTCAGCTTCTGGCTAAAGGGCATTATGAGAGAAAATAATCGTACTAAGTACATTCATGCACTTACTGTATGTACTGTAATGCAGTAACTTGAATTGTTCCCTTTTTAGTTTTGTTACAATAGTTGTGTAACAGAATGAAAGAAATGCAGTAACACTTTAGCCTTTCACTTTGGACAGTTGATACACATTTAGAAGCTGCAGATGTTTCATGCAGATTCACATGATGTAAATGAGATGGCTGAATAAGTCTTGAACAGTTATTTCCTGATAGCTGTTGCTTCTTTAACTAAAACCGGGATGTAAATCCATGCAATGACTAAGACGTCAGTCCTTGGGGAATGAGCTTACTTGGAACAGTGCTTCTCAAGCAATGCACAAAATACGCATTTGTCATAAAATAATGATAGTGGACCTGCCTGTCCTTTTCAAAAATTGAACAAGATCTGTTAACCTTCAAGGATCAGTTAAAGATAGTCCAATTGTAGTGAGTTGCTATTTGAGATTCTTTTCCTCTTTAACTAAATCTGTCTCTTCTGGGTCATTGCATTCTAAAAAACTGAAACTTAAACCTTTGGTAGATATATCAGGTAGTAAGGGATATGGTAGTGGGTGGGGAAAAAAAGGTTGAGATTATTGTGAGAGTTTTTTTGAGGAAAGGAATGTGGTATACATAGCTTGGAAAGTGTTCAACTGTCAGCATATTAATTCATATTCATACTGCTACAGGGCGTATTCTTCAACACTTGTGAGGCCATATTGCCATGGGAAAATGAATGCATTTTAACCACAGCTCAGTTTTGATTTGTTTAACTTCACATTTATGGTGCCCTGTCCTTCATATCTGACTGATGTTCCAGAATTTCCAAAATTCCTGTGTTATGATACACAAACAGTTCAAATGGCAGTCTAATATAGCCTTTATTTTTTTCTCTTTTGGCACTTGTTTTTTTCACACCACTGTAAAAGGCATGTAATGGCTTTCTGGATTCATTTAGCAGTCTCTTATTTATGCTACATACTCTTTAATAGGCCTAAATGCTCTCCAGTCTTTTAAAATTTGTTGGAAGTAGCAGTTCTATTCTCTTCCAGTTGTGCGGCTGTGCTTAAAAGGAGAGCATAGATGTGTGAGATTACCTAAAAAATGAAAAGGTAGTATTGTGCAGGAAGGAAAAACAGCCAACATGACACTGTTGTGCTCAATTTATTAAGTGGACCAGCTGAGGTGTAGGCTGTGTCAGGTATACGTATTGCTTGCATACGTGCATACAGTTACAATTAATAGAGACCCGTGCCAATTACCACTGAGATGAGTCAGCACAGTGAAGCTTGGAGGAACTGCAACACTTGCTCCAGCCAGTCAGTGTCAGGGTCTGGGCAGTGGCTCGACGCCAACAGGTAATGGTTCCACCTCAGATCTCAGCATCTACGTGGCGTTGGGTGTCCACGTGCCAGAGTTCTCCCCTGACCTCTCTTACTGGCAGGGGTATAGTCAAATTTTGGCACAGGCTGCCCATCTCATCTCTCAACAGTAATATAACCATACAGTTTTCCAGCATTTTCAGATTTTGTTCTTCTGTCACTTGTTGAACTGTGGCCTTTACTGAGGCTTGTTGCAGTCAGTTCTGTCCCCCCTGGCTCACTGGACTCGGTTCCTCAAGCCTTGATCGGGGAAGGTTGTGATGCTGCTGCTGACAGGTAGCTAACTGCTCCATGGCATTTCTTGCATGCTGGCATTCCAGAAAGCACTGCGTGGACAAGAGGGAAAAATATTTCACTGCAGAATGTTGAGATTTTAATGGTGTTTGTTGTTTTCTTCCCAACCGTTCTGTGTGATCGTGTTTGGCAGTTTGGCCCCACATGTAAAGTTTTAGGATACAGGCAAGAACGAGTGCAGCTAATAGAAGTAGCCAATGGATGCAGCAGTTTTTGCTGCAGTTCTTGCAGAAAGGGCCAGCAATTCTGCTCAGAACAGCATCCATGTCCTCGGCAATGGTGGTGATGTGCCCCAGGGCACAGTCCCCAGCTACTGCTGGACTGACTATCCCTGTAACATCGGAGGCCTCAACCCAGAGGGAGCTCCAGAAGGAGGATGCAGCTCTGCAGGTCTGGGGCTGCAGGGAATGCCTGTGGCCTCTTGCTAAGGCTGGGGCAGCAGGAGTTAGTTGTCTTGGCCACAGGAGGTGTGCAGTTATTGAGGATCTGTGTCACCAAGTAAAGGAGCTGCAGGAGGAGGTCAGCAGTCTGTACAGCATCAGAGATAATGAGAAAGAGATTGACCAGATCTTTTCCAACACTGCAGCTTCAAGAGCCCAAACTGCCAATTGTACTGAAGGGAGGAGGGTCAGGCAGACTCTGTGCCTGTCTGTTCGGGAAGTGGAGACTCCTATGATGATGAGGGTTGGAAGATAATGGCTTCCGGCACTAGGAGTAAGGTTTCTGCTCCACCTGAAGATCTGCAGCTACAGAGTAGGTTCACTGACCTCACTGCTGATGAGGAGCTGGGAGCTGTCAAATAAAGCATCTGTGCCATCTGTGTCTGAGCCACACAGGGGCACCAAGAGGAAGAGGCGAGTGATAGTAATGGGAGACTCCCTTCTGCAGGGAACAGAGACCCCCATCTGCCAACCTGACTCATTCTCTATGGAAGTTTGCTGCTTGCTGGGGGCTCGGATTTGGGATGTTGTGGAAAGACTGCCAAAGCTTGTCCAGCCCTCAGACTATTGCCCCCTGCCACTCTTCCATGTGAGCACCAGCAATACTGCCAGGGGTGACCTGGAAACTCTCAAGCGTGACTACATGGCTCCAGAGGCAATGGTCAAGGGCATGGGAGTCCAGGTGGTTTTCTTCTCAATCCCACTGGTGAGAGGGTAGATAGATCCTGCAGGTCAACAACTGTTTACACAGCTGATGTTGGCAACAGGGTTTTGGTTTCCCAACCGTGGGAACCTCTCTCTGAGGATCAAGGATTGCTGTTCAACTAAGTGGGGCAAAAGTGTCTTTGCCAGCAGGCTGGGCAACCTGATAAGAAGAGCTGTAGGATAAGAATGATGGGAGAGGGAGAAGAGGACCAACAATCAACTGAGAAGTGGTGGACTGGGTTGGCAAGCAAAGGGTCTGCTGTGATGTGAGCAAAGGGGATGCTGTAATCAACAAAACGGGGCTGAACGGGGGTTGCTCCAAGTGTACACACAAAAATTAGGATGTGCCTACAGGACAGCATTATGTGGAAAGCTCTCATTCCCTTTTTGGGAAGTCACCATGACCAAGTTCTTCTCTGAAGTACCTGTATGGCATGCTTGTGTTGTACAAGGAGAGGCTTAGAGAGCTGGGATTGGTTACCCTGAATAAAGGCATGCTTAGGAGGGATCTTACGTATATAAAAATATAAATACCTGATGGGAGGGAGTAAAGAAGACAGAACCAGACTTTTCTCCATGGTATCCAGTAACAGAACAAGAGGTAATGGCACAAGTTGAAATACAAGAAATTCCATTTAAACATAAGAAACACTGGAGCACATTGCCCAGAGAGATTGCGGTCTCTCCATCCTTACAGATTCTCAGAACCCCACTGGACGTGACCCTGAGCAACCCGCTCTGACTGAAGCTACTTTGAGCAGGGGGGGTGGACTAGATAATCTCCAACCTCAACAATCTGTGATTCTAAGAACTTCATTCTAGATGTATGAGAGTCAGCCCAACTGAAAGAGGTGTCGACTCAGCATTGTATACATGTAGCTCTGGAAGAGCTACTTAGAAACCTTTTGGTGGTGAAGTTGTTCTTGTTTCTGGCTTTGCAGGAATCAGAAACTCTTGATTGCTTCCTTTGAAAAATATTGTTTGTTAATACAGAATCAGAACAGGAACAGATTTTAGATACTTAAGGCCAAAATGCATATGTGACCTAAAAGGAAAGAAAATTAGAGTGACGTAAGAGCCATCAGTGAGTAATGCCAGTATGCTGGAGAATCTTTCTGATCTTTGACTTTATTTGTCTAGTTTTCAGTGCTAGCTCATGGGCAATATAGTGGCAGGAAAATAAAATCTAAACCTGTTGAACTCCTTAGAACTTAGAGTTCTGTATTTTGTTACTTAAAAAGTAGAAATACTTTCAGAAGTTGATGTAAAGATTTGTAGAGTGATGTTGCACACATGCATGGATAGATCAAGTGCTTGCTAATTACACTTTGATTTTCCTATATTGTGCGTGTCTGAATGTCTTGTTGACTTGAACATCTGTAAACGTTCTTATTGAGGCTGTTGCAAGATATGGTTAGCTTTTCCTCTTCATTGTAATAATGGGTCTTCATATAATATGACTTTAAGCTGACCTTTAACGTTAGCTTGAGACTCTCCGGTCGTTTCAAGTTGTCCTTCTCCCTTGTCATTAATACAGATAGGCTGTTACGTTATACACCTAGATTCCAAAGTTAGGCATGCACAAAGTTAGCAAATAAAACCAGTCTACTAAGCAGTACTGTAATAAAGAAGAATTTTATAGAAGTGTACCTCTGTATTTAAGTGGTCTGCTAACTTCCACTATTTTTTCCCTCCTTCTTCATAGAATGTGTATGTAAACATAAACCGCATCATGTCAGTAGCAAATCGCCTGGTCGAGTCTGGCCATTATGCTTCACAGCAAATAAAACAGATTGCTAGTCAGTTGGAGCAAGAATGGAAGGCATTTGCTGCAGCCTTGGATGAACGTAGCACGTTACTGGATATGTCCTCCATCTTCCATCAGAAAGCTGAACAGGTTAGTGAATGGGGAGGGCGCCAACAAAAGTTTCTGTGCTGGAATGGTGAGTTGTACTGTTTTGCTTTTGATTTAGACGGAAGTACAAGACAGTGATTGAAAAGGTCGGCAAGAAAGCCAGAGCATTCATTTCTGCCCATTTCAGCTGATACTCAAAAAAAACCTTGTTCTCCTCAGGACAGCCCACTGCCCTTATATTCTCCACAAAATGCCTTGCCCATATCACTTAGCCATATTAGCTATATGAATTAAAATGAAGTGGACATAAATGCTTAGCTATATGAAGCTCTTAAGTTGAAAGAAAGAAAGGAAAAAATTTAGTATAGTCAGTATCGATATAATGCCTTTCCTACATCCAGAAATGATCACTTGTTCTGTTCTCTTCACCACTCCACCCCAATCGGTCCTTGAGTGTCAAGATTTAACTCATAGCAATTGCTTATAGAAAACTAAGTTGAACTGGCCTGAAAGTTGAGAAGTTAATTAACTGTCTTCTGAATCTGAAATTGTGGTGGGAGATGTTTACTTAGTATCCCATAAGAGATTCCTCCTATATTAAACAAAAATTTTAGCTTTAGGCCTATACCAATTATTTTAATTAAGTCATTAACCATGTGTAACTGCCAGAGAAGAGGTATATGTAGGGGAAATAGGAATAAATATCCCCAAGTTAATAGTCTTGATGGTGAAAGCATATTTTCCCCTCAAGGGAATTCAGTTCTGAAGGAGTTGCTATGTGTTTGCTGTTGAGTCACCCACTGATATTATATACTGTCTGCTCTGTACATCTCTGGTAGATTTGGAGAGCAGAGGTTCTTGGATGGTTATGGCTGACTGAAGCTCTGGTGTGCTGTATGGCTGCTGTAGATACTTTTCTTTCCATTTGCCTTGCTAAATTGGATCCAAGAAAAGGTCTCATGTCTGATATTACTTTAATTTGGAATAAATGAAGGAACCACTTGGGAGCTGATTACTGCAGAAATAGAGAGAGGCAGCACACTTTATTTTAAGAAGTTTTTTTCCTGATTTCTACTACACAGATGCTCAACTTCATAAATGTCCAGAAATTAGAAATGTGAACGTATTAAGATGCAAATACACATTGCTTTTCATTATGTTAGTGGTGACATTGGTTTAACTGTCCTTAGACAGACTAAGGTAAAGTATATAAACTGATGCCACTATAATAAGTATTTTTAACAGGTTTTACAGAAAAGCCATATAAAAAGGAGACAAATGAATTGTTTTCTGGTATAAAAGTCACCAACCAGCTTGAAGCATTTGATAGACACAGTGTGGTACCTAATCAGTATTGATGCTTTTCTAATTGCTTGGGTTATTCAGGTTTACCTTTGTTTAAGCACTGTCAGCCATGCAGGAGAGAGATGGTGGAACCTGAACAGATAGGTATATCCTGACTCAAATGCTGTCCTTTTTCATAAGAAAATGATGTTCATCAGAAGTCAGGGGAGTAAATTTGGTGTGTGTGTGTGTGCTGGGCAACTTTGGTAAGGGTCGGTGTTACCTTCTTCAGCACTAAATGTAAGTGTAAACAGGAGGAAAGAGAAGAATGAGATAAAATAGTGCAGCATCTGCTGGGATTAATTTACTTTTTAATTGTCCTTCTGCGGTTTTCATTTTATGATTAACTGTGATGGATAGTCATAGTTGCTTTGTAAGATACCTGGCTGTGATATATTAGCTGTTTCATTAACAGCGGAGAGTGAGTTCAAGGAAAGAGGGTTTAGAATGAGAGGAATGACCCCCTTTAGAGACTGGTGATGCTTCACCTACATAAAAAGATGATTAAAAAATAAGCAGCCAAAGAAATAACACACCCTTCTTGAATGCATGTGTTCCCTTGCACGTGACAGGTAAGTGTCGCTGCCTACTGTCAGACACAGTGAAGACTGCACCCAGCTATCAGTGCCTGCTGACTGGTGCAAGAGGTGTAGCTCTGTGGTCCCACATGGAGCTTCTTTTAATGTTCAGTGCTTAACATTAGAGATTTTTAAAATTGTCCCTTGATAAAATGAGAATTAAATAAGTATCTTAGAGTTAAGTACTCTATCACCCTTCCTCCTAGCTTTCAAACAATAATGGAGTACCAGAAATGGCCTGTGGATTACCTTTTCCTTTAAAGACTACATGTGCTCCAGGAATTAAGATATGTATGATGCCAGTAATGGCTTGGTCTCTTAAAACTTTTGAGACTTGAACATGACATGAATAGAGGACAAATTTAGTTTACAGATACCACATGTGCTTGGCTGTACTAAGTTTAACAGCTATGAAAAGTCCTAGAAAAACAGATTCTTTTTTCCTCTTTCCTTTCCTAGCATAACGAGGGTATAAAATTCATGCCCCCTAGCTGTCAAAAATAAGTTGACAGAACTTCTGCTGTGCATACAGCTATGATGTCAGTTTCTTGTCTGTCAAGACAGCTTAAGTGTCAGAGATAAATTGTCTGCAGAAGAGATTCTGTTGCAGTATCCTCAATTTCCCCTGAAAGGCTTGACTTGAGCAGCTGTGCTGAAATGGCTGTGTGCTCAAAGTTCAGTGTTAGTCCTAAGAGACCCCCGCTTAAGTTGTAAATCCCTTACATGCTTGCTGCTGTAGTAGCTTGCCAAATGGATTTAGTGCTTCTCTGCATATAGTAGTTAGTGCTTTGGGGACTGAGGTGTGAATTTGCTGTGCTCTAAGACTGCTTTGCCTCCTTGGTGATCTCTTTCCAGCAAGAGACAACTGTGGAGTGTTTCAGTGAACGGTTCACCATTAATTCTTTGTGTGTGTGTGCGTCTGTACATACGTGCGAAGTGACTTGGTTTTCTCTGAAGATTTAAAAAAGATGAGGTGATACCTCATGATACCATGAGTATCTGCACAGGGAGTTGATGGGTAAGAGCTGAGGGTCTGGACTTGAAAATTGTAGCATGTTTTACCTCTTTGTGTAGACAAGACCTTAATTGGCTTTCATGCATCTGAAATGGTAGGTGCAGGGTGAAGTAAACTTTTTCTTAGCTGCAAAGTCAAGAAAAGGAGCAAGAGTAAACTTGAAGCATCAGTATTGCCAACAGTTTAATTGGTTCTGAAGGCTGCCAACATACCACTAAGCCTGCCTGTCTGTGAATGGCTCAAAGAGTTCCATCTAACTAAAAGCACAAGTATAGTCAGACTTGAATATTTGTTTCTATTCTGATATAAGCTTCATTTTGGTCAGTTTAGAGAGAAATACACTAAACATTTTTTCCTTTAAAAAAGTCTTTTCAGTGGCTGTCACACAGATGCCAGTCCTTTTGTATATTACCAACACGTGTATACTTATTGATAGAACCCAAAATCAAGCAGAATGTTTTTTCTCTGTTGCAGTACATGAGCAATGTGGACTCATGGTGTAAAGCCTGCGGTGAGGTGGAGCTTCCCTCAGAACTGCAAGATTTAGAAGATGCTATCCATCATCATCAAGGGATATATGAGCATATTACCTTGGCTTACTCTGAGGTAAGTGTCCTGTTTGTTTCCTTAGGTTGCTGACTAAAATGGTGTAATGTTAAGTTTGGATCATGAACTGGCATTGCTTGTTGCATAGCGCATTAGTTGGAAACTCAAGTGCCAAGCTTCTTTTTTAATTTAGTATACTGGACTTTGCTACTGTTGTTCGAAAGTTAAGTGTTAAGTCTTCCCCTTAATCTGCAAGAAATTTAAAAGGCAAGGTGGAACCTATGGTACAAACAACCCATGCAGTGTACTAAGTATGTTTTAATTTACATTTGCATATTGCTACCTTTCAAGAGCAGTATAATACTATCGTTTGAACATTTACTTGAAGGGAAGCTAGCTGGGTATTCTTTGGGAAAGTATTCTGTTGGCATGGATTGCTTTAAGTGTGTTTTGAAAATCAATCTCTGAAATTGCCTCACAAAAAAGGCTTAACCATCAAAGGATGTCACTTGACAAGCCGGAAGTTATATACTTAGTTCTGCCAACCTCAAAGACACTTAGATGAGCCAGTGTGCCTATGTAGCCAGCATTCGTAAGATGAGCATATCCTGTGCTGCTGCTCTAATCTTGGATTCTGCACACAATGAAGTAATAATATTTCTTAGTATTTCTAATAGATGTATTTACAACTTAAGATAAAATGCTTATTTTGAAGGTGGCCTAGAAAGCAATGACTAAAGTATCTATTGTTTTTCTTCAAATATTGAGTTCTCTCATGTGCTTTAGTTAGCTGAAGTGAGAAATCAAGTGGGTATCGACTTCACTATTAGATAACAGGTATTTTCTGTATTTCCTGTTGAGCTTTTCTTGCTTTCTTTTTCCAGGGTTGTTCTCATCACAGGATAAAACTGTTATTGCTGTTAAATTGGACTGGTGTTATTCTGGATTAAATACAGTAGTTTCTGTTCTCATGAAAGTTGCAGAAAAGTATGCATTTGATTAAATCATGGTAAAAAATGATTAGTGGACACAGTATAGCTTCAGCCACAGCTTGCACCTCCTTTTAGAAGGAGGTCATGTGGGACTGAAATAATTGTTCTGATTTATACATTACATCAAAGATAAAACTACTTTCTGATGAACCAGCTCTATTTATGGGCGACTGAATCATAAGTCTGGTCACATTTCATTTAGCAATAAAGGGAGGGTAAGATTAGTGCTGATGATCAGTCCTATTGTTGGTATATCAAAACCGGATTTTTTGAATACCTGCCATCTTAGGGCCTGCATAAACTTTATTACCATGTCAGACGTCCAGAGTTCACATGAGTTGTTGTTCTTTTGTGTAAAATACACACTGATATCCCCATTCCTGATATATGCCACCTTGCCTTGGCAACTGATCTAACGACATACTGAAGCACACCTTTGGTGATAAAACTTGTGATCTTACTACACATACCTGTTCTAACTCATTCTTGAGAGCATGCTTTGTAGGAAGGTTTCTTGTCTTCGTTATAACCTCTCTTCATTGGGAGGATCCCTTTGTAAAACAAGGGACAGAGGTGTAGCACGTTTGTAGTAGATTTATGAGAAGAGAGGCAATCTGGGGTGCATGCTCCATGAGAGTGCAGCAAGGAATAAGAAGGGGCTGTCTGGAATAATGATTACAAAGCATTGAAGTTAAAACAGTGAGATTTTTTTGGTTTGGTTTTGTTTGGTTTGGATTGGGTTTGTTTGTGTTTTTTCATCAGGGATGTGACTGGATTAGAGCCTGCTGTTAAGTGTAAATAAGTACTGCGAATTACCATGTTAAATACTGTTTGCTTCCTGGTGATGCATAATGAAAATAAATTAGATGGGTAGATTATAGGATTGCTCTGGCAAATACCTTGAAAATTTATTGAGGATTTCAAAGCTGTAGCTTTTGACTTTGGGATAGCTAGAGATTTTAACAAAACATTCATTGGTACTGCTCAAAAAAAACCAGGTGCCTTTCTTCTAATTTCAGGTCATTACTTTTCCCCATCTGGTGAAGCAATAGCTTTGTCTTTAGCAACCAGAATTGGTGCAGAAATAATAGTTGTATGTGTATGTACAAGTTGTGTTCCCCCTCTGGACAGAAGGTTTTATTTTGCTTTGTTTAAACACGCATTCCTTTTTGACGATTGATGGAGTTGTCTTTCTGTGTAAAGATATTACAGAACTATTGCTTATCATTATTAGATGTATGACTTCATTTCTGTTACAGCACGGAGCTCCTTTCATTTTGTGATGAATGAACAGTGGGGGGAGAGAGAGAGGAACACTGTGAAAATTACAACACTTTGTCATTCATTTTAGATTACAATGTCTTGACAACACGACTTGGTTGCAAAGTAGAAGACAGTAATTTTAAGAGAGTAAATGCTTTTAAGACTAGACAGTCTGATTTTACTGAGGGTAATTACTGTATATTACTAGAAAAGTAACTTACTAGCTTACAAGCTTAGATAACTGGTGTGCTTGAAAAGCCAATAGCTGTGCCTTAAGTGAAGTTATATATATAAATGAAGCTATATATCTCACTGAAATCTTAAGGTAGTCATGCACTGGGAAGGAAGAAAACTTTACCGTGTTAACTCCCAAGAGGAAATGTGCATAATCATTTGTTTGTAAAGCTAATAAACTAATCAGATCAATGGGCTGTCGTAATTAATTATTTTTTTTCCCCTAAATTTCATGGGCTCTGGATAGATAATTGAAGTCCATTATCTTGAAATATTTGAAAGACTTGTACTAGATAATTGCTTTGGATACAGAAAAGAAAAAAAATCATCATTATAATAACTACTATGGACTATACTCTTTTTTTGCCTGACTTGACTTTATAGGAGCTACTTTTCCAAGTGAGCTTCATTCTCTGTGTTGATACTTATTACTAAAATGAAAAAGCTTAAATTTGAACTGAGAAGTAAACTCACTTGTAACCTAATTATTAGAAAAGAATTTTCATTTGGATCTGTTTGACTACTGAATAGCAAATTTTAAATGTGCCTAGATTTAGTGAAAATTGTTGAAAATAGCCACTGGGGGAAGGCTTTGACAAATTTTCTCTTTCTGACATGGTGTTGATTTGATGGATTCAGAGTATTGTTTACACTCCAGTCTTATGGTTTCAGATTAATTTTTCGTGCCTGTTAGATGAGCTATTAGAAGAGTTCTTTACAGATAGCTGAATGATACTGAATTGTAACAGTTCTCTGAGCTTCATGCTAAAAGTGACAGAATAGCTAAACGGCAATGAAAAGTGCTTTCAACAGCCTTGGCCAGTGCTAAATATTAATAGTGACCGGATAAGATAGGATTATTGCTTTTTAATTAGCATGCCAGGTAAATCTGAGAATTTTTGCTGTGGTTTGAATTAGAGAAGACAACAATTAGAAATGACTAATGTTTCTTGTCAGCATAAGTAGTTAAACACATTTTGGAAAAGAGTATCTATCTTTGCTGCATGGAAACGTTTTAAGTGATTTAATCGGGTTTAAGTTTGCCGTAACAACAGTTTGCCTTTGGCTTACCAGTAACAGTAATAATTTAGAAGTTGTAAATCGTGTCAGATCAAAGCATGTCCTAAGTTCATATTTGTTGGTCTAAATGTATTCATCAAATTAATATTAACCTGTAGAAGGTAACCTCCCTGTTCACCTTTACAGCCTATGAAAAGAGAGAGATGTTCCTGGCAGGATAATTCTGGGCAAATGCTTAATTTTAGGTGCTTTGTTGACTAGAGAAAGAGCTGAAGAGTATTTATGCTAAGTTAGGCTTGACCTGTTTAAAAAAAAAAAACAACAGCCCACACTTCAAAGGAAAAGCACTCTTAAGGTAATCAAAAAATCAAGACAGGCTGTTACTTAGAGGAGTGCTACTTCTTAAAATTGTCTTACATAGAGGGAGAATATACATGTATATTTTTTTTTTTCCCTGTAACAGCTGCATGTAATCATGCCTGGAATAAAAAAAAAAATATTCATCACTGCTCCCCAAGTTCTTAAAGACATCTAAAATGGGGAGGGGGGTGGGGAATGAAATAATAGTCTAACAAGCTTTTGGCAAGACAAGTAATTCTTTGTCCTTTCTGGTGGTCAGGTGAGCCAAGATGGAAAGTCACTGCTTGACAAACTTCAGAGACCTTTGACGCCTGGGAGTTCTGATTCTCTCACCGCTTCTGCCAACTACTCAAAAGCAGTTCATCATGTTCTGGATGTCATCCATGAAGTACTGCACCACCAGCGCCAGCTGGAAAATATTTGGCAGCATCGAAAGGTCCGCTTGCACCAGCGGCTTCAACTATGTGTTTTTCAACAGGATGTTCAACAGGTAGGTTTTATTTCATGTTGTCTAAATGCCTTTCTGCTCTGTCAGCCTGTGATTTGATGCTGGTTGCATTGACAAGTGGGTTTTGAACGCCAAACCCCATGTTCTTCCATTCAGCAGTTGAATAGTTGCATGGGACTGACTGACTGATTCCAAGTTCTGTGTGTTATCAGAGGATATTGGCTGTTACAGGTAGAAATTATATTTGTAAGTTAGCTCTGCTTCAGTTTTTTCTTTTCTTAAATTAACTTCTTTATTTTACTTTAAGTCAGATAGGATGAAAAAGATTTTTATTCTAGACGGCTATTCTGAGCTTGTGCTGGAAGCTGTCATTCACATTCTAGGTAAACGTCTGGACTTGAAGTGTCAGAAAGGCTTGTAGGAGTAACATGCAAAAAAATTAACAGTGTTATTCTGTAACAAAGTTTTAGTTTCAAATCCTCAGTGATACTTAATTTCTTTAAAACCTGAGAGTAGTATACTAAAGAGGTATAGAAATTACAGACAAGATTACTTTCTGACAATGACGCTGTTCTTGAATTAATGGTTATTAGCTGCCATATTTTTATTATTATGATGACATCCATAAAAATTAGTAGTTAAGTACAGGCATTAATATCTCTGACATGATTTTAGCTTAAAAAGGTGAAGCTGTAAAGAAATCCTTTGCTGATAGATTTTTTTTAATAAACAGAAAATGTTTGCCTTAGGCTGCAATTGACAGAGACATTAGTAATTTATCCCTTAATAGCTCATCTTCATAAAAAAGTAAAGATGGCCAGTATTTGCTGATCATGTTCTTTCATTTCAGTGTAAAGGTGTTCACAAATCAGGAACTTCCAAATGGAGATTTTAGTTAGCCAGTCAAACATTCTGGTTAAACTAATATTGTTTCTTCCAAATTAGTTGCACTTTAAGCCAAATTTCTTGTACTGGACTGTTTCAAGAAGATGCTGGATGTGAGCAGTTGGGAGTGAAATAACTTGGTTTCCGTAATTTACAGTAGTTGACAGAGATACTTAATTCAGGCAGGCGGTGGGGAGAGTGAGCAATCTCGTTAGCTCAACTTTCTTCTATACGCAGTGCCTATCTCTTCCTGTAAGTTATAGAAAACAGCTTAAAAAATACTTAAGCACTAAATTAAGTGTAAAATTATTAAAACTTTTGATGTAAAAAGAGGCATATGTTGAAAGGCAGGCAGTTATGCAACTTCTCAACAATTAGATGTGACGAAGGATGCAGAAAGGCATGAAAAATGTTAGCTGACAAAAAAGTAAAAGAAAGTGGGGTCAATGTTATGAATGGTCAGGAAGGGCATAGAGAACCAAACTGAAAACACTATTATGCCATTGTATAAATCCTAGAAGCTCTTCATCAAGATTACTACATAAATAGTAGCTAGTCAGGAGAGTCCAGTGCTGGTACTTGCACAAGTAGTCAGTGAAGGGCACTCGTCAAAACTGATGAGGCACAGTCCACAAATGAACTACCTCTTAAACTGAAAAGGCTTCATAAGGAATCTTCAGAAACTGAAATTAACACAGTGGTTTGCTTCTCGTAGGGAAAAATGTAGGTCTTCTCAGTGGTACCCTAGTGCCACCAAACACGGATTGGATCCCGGAACTTTCTCGTCTAGTTTGAATTCAATCCAAGTAGGACCTACTTAGGCAACCTAGGCCAAGGGATCCTCTGAGGTTATTTACCAGATACATAATTCAGGTTTCAGGCCTGTAGGCCAGGCTGCAGGCAGTTTATTTCCCCGGGGGAAGGTGTTCATTAAATGCTACGGAGAGTCTTATTGTTCTGTTCCTACTCTTTGCTTTTATTATCTTGGTAGTCATAAAATGTTTGTAGGAAATTCTCTTTTTCGGCTTCTTCCTAAGTCATGGCTCTCGGAGTGGAGGAGTTAGCTCTGAAGCTGCTTTGTTCTTTGAAGTCGGCAAATAACCCTTCATTAGACTCAAGTCATTGTAGAGTCACCACCAGGTTCTTCATCAAGAAGCTGGATTTTCCTTCTCTGTATGAGACCTGTCAGCCCCTGGAACTGGTGCATTTAACCTCAAATAGTCTCAGGTTTGAAAACAACAAAGTAGACAGCTTTACCTATTTTTATAACTTCCAGTATCAAGAATGTGTTATCCAAATCACGCATGTGGATTGTGAGTATAACATAAGTTTTCAGTATGAACCAGTTGGCTCAAGAGGGTTAATCCATCTAGGCTCGTTATTCAGTACATGCCTTACCTACCGGTTGGAGAAATTTCTTTCTTCCTGTTTATGCCTCTGGTTTCTCTATATGCTTTGCAAGGCAGATCTTGCATTAAGATATCGAGATATCCTCTTGACAATTTGAAACTGCGGCCTTCGGTGCTAATGCACATCTTTATTAACCACTTTAGATCTCAAACTAGATCTTATGTACAGAGATGCAGCCCCTGCTTGCCATGTTCCTAAGCCCTTCCCTTAATAATAGTAGTAATCACTGCCAGAGACTGGGTTGTCCTTTGGTTTATCCCTGTAATGGCCGTTAACATCCACGTTGGAGGCTTCTGAAATGTTGCATGTGGAAGTATAGCTCTTTGTTATGTTGCTTTAACTTAACTTTCAGATACTGGTGTATTTTAGGCACTGCCTTGTGAATCACAATGTGAATTGCGGTTAATATTCCCATTTGTAATACAACTTTTCATACTTTCATTTCAGTGCAGATCATGCTGTAAGACAATGATAATTTCCCCATCCATACCAGACAAATAATCTAATAGTAGCCAGGAGCAGATGCCTTAAAGATAACGGCAGGCACATAATGGTATTTCCCTGGAATAGCCTTGCTTTGGCAAATTGTAGCGCGCTCAGCTTTGAAAATCCATCGGGGGAAAAAAGTAATCTTGAATAATAAGGATTCTTTTTTCTTGCAAAACAACAAAACCAAAACAACCTTATCAGATCATCTGATTTATCTGAGAAATGTTAGCTCTTCAGTTGAATGATCATTGACACCATTCAGTGCATGAAATTACTCGTTTTTTGAGGTATTAGTTAAATTTATATCCAAGACAATTCTGGAATAGTTTTTGTAGAGCTCCAAAGCAACTTTCTAAAATACTTTAGTTTTCATTTGCACATTCTCTCAGGCTTCTTAGTCTTTGTTCAAACCTTAAAAAATTCAATTAAGATTATCTAGCATGATTTAGAAACTAGCATGAAAACCTTTTTTAATTATTGTCAGTAAAGTTAAAAGGTTTTTTTCACGTCAAAATAAACTAAGTGCAGCTCTCTTCCACTGTTTATAGTTAAATTGCACATAGTGGCAAGCAACCAAGTGCATTGTAAGTGAATCTGTAACTGTCCTTCAGCATGAATCTGTGATTTCCTCCTCTTTCCTCTGCTGGCATAGTTTTCCGCTGGATTAATGAAATAAATCAGTTCATGGAAGTGTTAAGTGAGTGACAGAGTTGAGTTGGAGGACGGAATTAGCTGTGATGAGCTGGTACTTCATTTTGTGTTACTTCCACCTTAGAAAACTGGTTGTTTGTTGTTGTTTTTTTTTTTTCCCTTGTGTCTTCTATGTTCAGTATTGGGAAAGTGTTTCTAGTGGAGCTTTCCAAATCAACAAAAACACTGTGGTGCTAGCTGTGTACACCAAGAATCATCTGCTAATTTCTTGGAGCAAGTAATAAGGAAGGTAGCACATGAAATATTAAAAATAGTACATAAGACGTGAATTAGAGCAAATCTGAAATTTGAAATTTCAGGTGAAAACCTATGACAGTCTTAAACTGAACAGAATCCTGAGTTTCACCTTAGATAGCAGAAACGTGCCAGGAGATTGAGTTCCTAGTTAGTTTGTATATTAACACCAAATAAGACGGTGGGTTGGGTTGGTTTTGGGTTTTTTTTGTTTGTTTGTTGGGTTTGTCCACCCCCCCCCCAGTAAAAGTCAGGTCATTGGCTGTTGCACTCAACTGTTGAAAATAATCCCTCTAGTGTAAAACATGCTAATAAAAGTATAATTTTATGCTTAAGAATTAACGAGCTTACCAAGTGGATAACGTACGCCAGCCTTTCACCTAAGGAAAGGAAAGGAGCTGGCTCTGATGGTTCTGATACAAAGCAATAAAGCAGAGTTGTAATAGCAATGTGGGGGTTTGTGCTGCTAAGCCATGAAAGGTCAAAACTGAACATAAAAGATAATGTTTCTGGTGATACTGCTGACACTCCTATGGTCAAAGTTTTTGGGCCTGAAAAAACACTCCTGATGGCTTGCAAGCCAGAGATTAGTAAAACATACATGTAGGTTTTTTTCAAAACATACATTTATTAGGTCCTCACTGACCTTGGGTGTCTTCTCTCTGTCTGTTCTGGATAAATGTGCTGCTTCTCCTTCCTTGATCTGCCTGCCTCAAAGACTCCGTCTGAGTTTTTGTTGTAACAGTCACTTGTTTCAGCCTTGACTAATGAAGGGCGGGCCAAGAATGCTTGCTACTTGTTCAGCCTCAAAATAATACTGATTGCACTGCGCGATCCTCCTGTGGCTTTTGGAGGTGGTTCCAGTGTGAAATGGTTCTTTTCGGGAGAGAGTATTTCCACATTTGAACTATCCGAAGATTAGAAAGGCAGAGATTTCCATCTTCCCCTTCTGAATGTTATGTCAGCACCAAGTAAGTGGTGGTGATCTGAAAAGTGAGTGTGCAAAGTAGCTAAGGGTAGGGGGGTAAGGACTGGATGACGATGTGGGGAGGACTGGTGAAAATGAGCATGTTGAGTCTGCAAAAGATCAGATTGTTTATTTCTGCAAACAGCATATACAAAACATATTTTACAGCCACGAGCAATGAATTTGTAAAGATGAAGCCATCTTTCCATAGTAGTTTCTTCTATCATATATTCAGTATTGGTGTTTTAAGAACAAGCAATTTTTTTCTAGAATCTATATTGGGCATAAGGATGGTTCTGCTGAGACTGCAGTTAGAGCTTAATTGCATCATTAAAGCAACTTGCTGCAGTGGAGGATTATCAATACTGAAAAGTATTGAGCCTCTTAAATTCCTATGTATTACTGACCTACGGGAGTGAATTCCATGTGCTTTCAGTATTAGTAGACAAGTCCTTAGTGGGTTGGTATGATGGTTTCTGTAACTCTTACCTCTCCCAGGAAGAGGAAGAAAATGCATCATTTCAGATTGCTAAATGGCTAATATCAGTGCCAGCTAATGGTATTGTCCTTTGGTCAAAGTGGTATGCAAAAGCTCTCACTGATGGGCAAGAGCATACCTTAACTTTGACTCTGCTTTTACATGCTGTGAAATTCCCAAATAAAGAGTGCTTCCTCAGGTTTGTTAAGAATCAAGGTAAGAAGGCTGAGCACTAATAAGACTTGTATTCATACTGATTTCACTTAGAGGCAGCAATGTTTCTCTAGTTGACTGGTTTATGTCATGATCCTGTGTACTGGATTTCTATGACAATTTCTTCTCTTGAGAAGTTACTGACCATTATTTGGAGCAAAAATCATTCTCCCTGGGCTGCTTTCTGCTTTTCATCTCACGCTTTCTGGGACAGATTTTGCTGTTGATTTCATTTGTTAGCTTATAACTGTTAGTAGTCTCCAGAGTCCAGTCTAATTCTCTCATCCAAACATGTCTCTCTTTAGCTCTTTTATAATGAGAAAAGCAGAGTAGTCTCCTGAAACTAGTCAAAAGCATTGGTAATATAAACTTTACAGATAACTGAGGCCATGTTTGGCTCCTCGCTCTACCTTCTCTGATCAATACTTTCCCTTGAAAGAAGCAAATGAAAATGTACATTGACCTAAAACACAATATTCTTTTGGCAATACTTACTAGGAAAAACAAACATTGCATAAGTGTTGGTGATTTGAGATGGCTGTATTATGTGGCGTTAGGGGATTGTTTGTTGTTTTGAAGATGTCTGGTAGGAGAGAGTTTGCAAACCAAAAAACATTCTAACAGTCAAGATACATGAGAAAAATCACACCAGATGGTTTCATTTTGTCTACTAAAGAAAGCATGGATGTTTTGTATGGGAATAGTGTGTGGGATTACATGTGCACTGAATGTAGCCATGAGTGATGTTGCAGGAATGGTTCTCAAGTCTGTTTGGAAGCAAACAAACTAAACAAAAAAAGTCTTTCTCTTTAGTTACGCCAAGTGTCAAATGCTTTCATACAGGAGAAGAGGAAAAAAACCTCACCAAACTTCAGGAATCAGTGTAAAGGATACTAGTAGATAAGGAGAGATAAGGTACAGGTTTCTGGCAGGTATACTCAAAACGAAACAAAATACTCAGCATTCTTCTTTCTTTAAAACCTGAAGATAAATGTTAGGTAGAGTATTCCACACCACTACATAAATACTGTGTAAAAATGGTTAGCTGACTTAAGAAAATGGCTTATATGCAGTTGTTTTTAATTCTGAACAGCATTCTTGAACCTCTGACTATCCTCCAAAGAATTAAGTACCGTATGCATGCTAGCTAATGAATGAATGAAGATATAGCTAAGATGTATTAGTTTGGAGAGAGACCGGATGTTTTTGTTCATTCACTCATCAGAAACTTGGTATGTGTGCAGTAATCTTTTGTGTTAACTGGCAGGAACTAATTACATGTACAGTTTTTACTATTTATAAAGCTGTCAGCCCAGCCATTGTGGTAGAAGTGTTAATGTCCTTAAAATGTCTTTCATTCCTCACTTTTTCAGCTATAAAATTTACAATACACAATTATGTCTATCCGATGTTTTGAGGAGAAGCTTCTTCAGAATTGGGGCAAAATCCTTCATGTGCTCTGAATGCAGATATCATTCATCTCATAATGATTTCAACTCAATTTTATTGCATTAATTAAAAATTCTACTACTGAATCTTTCTTCTTGACTTAATAATATGTAGTAGGAGAAGCTATTTCTCATCTAAAATAAAACTTCACTGTGTTATTCACCAGCATTGTTGGGGAATGTGCAAACTCCATTAGTGTTACCTTACAGAAAAATGTCAGCTGAAGGCATAAACGGATTACAGAGAGACCCTCACAAGGGGTCTAGCCACTTGGATCAGATTACTGTCAAATTGATGAATGTGTAGAAATGAGGTTGTCCTTGGTAGGCTTCAAAATAAACATATAATCTTAAATCATACGATTTAGCTAGTTATTGCCTTGAGAAAAGTTAATGAGATATAATTAGTGTCCTTCAATGGCAATACTGTGTTTTAATCCAACAGTACAGTACCTTATAAGCAGTCCCTTTACAGCTTCTTAGTTTCTTGAATAGTTGTCTTTTTGTTGCAACATTCAGTACATCCACTCAGAGTTTTTGTATGTCTCTCTTCTGTACCACAGGTGTTGGATTGGATTGAAAACCATGGAGAAGCTTTTCTTAGCAAACATACTGGAGTGGGAAAATCCCTGCATCGGGCTAGAGCTTTGCAGAAACGCCATGAAGACTTTGAAGAGGTTGCGCAGGTAAAAACAATCACATGAAGGACTGTAATTTGTCATGGAAATATATGAAAAATTCCTGCTGTGGCACTGAAGGGTTGAGTAGAGGGAGCTCCACTACAAAAAATTCCGTTCCAAGAATGGACTATTTTGTTTCTGTTGCAAGCTCGTATTTCATTTCTGCTTTGCGCTCCAGTTTCAACAAGAAAAAAAACAAACTTCCACAGTCCTGCAGAGAGTGGGAGCCTTGAAGCCCGACAGAGCTGCTGCTGATATTATTATTTATTATTATTATTATTTCAAAAGCATGCTTTCAAATATTGAGTCGCAGAAGAATGAAAGCTCTCCTTTTAAAGTAACTTAATTCCATGGGATTCTAGGATTTAAACTTTTGTGCAGCCTGTAAGAGAGGATGGAGATGAATTGAAAGCCCTGCTTCCTGACTTTAAGGTTGAGGAGCTCCCAAATCCCCACAACAGTTTGATGGGGGTGAAGGGAGGACTCCTAAGAACCCAGGTGAGCCAGCAAACTGGTCAACCTGGCTTTGATTTCTTTAAATACAATTGAGTTTGTGTATGTCCTCCTGTTCTGAATCACTGATACCACCGCTTTTTCCATAGGAAGACTCTAGTTTCAGCCTTAAGTGGAACTGATGATAGAACTTCAAAACACACTTTTCTGTGAAAAAGAGTCAAGCCAAAAGAAATACAGATACTAAGGAATGCAGGGAGCATAACAAGAGGAAGTTGGTTTGGGTGGCAGCCTTGAAAAGGGCATGAGGTGAATAAAACCCATTAGAAGCTGAAGGCTAGAATCCTCCCCATTAGTAACATGTACTGTCTGTCCAGTCTTAATGATTGGTAAGAGTAAACATCTCTAAGATTCATCAAGAAAAATCTCATTAAGGTAGGGTTGATACAGTGGTCCTTCAGTCAAAACAGAAGACGCATCATTAGAAGATTCTGAAGTGACATGCAGGAGCTCAGCAGTGACACCTACTATGGCGGATGCATCAGAAGTGTGTTTACAGATTGCCTGTTTAATGGATGATTAAGCTCTTAGTAAAATTTCACTTGTAAATACAGTCTTAGAGCACTCCAGTGACTGAGGACTTGAAATAGCATCAGAAAGCTTCCTCAATATTGATTTCCTATAAAATTTTCCAAAATAATAAGCGTTGTTAGTTTTGTATATACACATGCTGGATTTTCCATATGCATGCCTAATACTTCATTTTTAGTAAAATCTGTAATATTTTACATGTGGAAGTACTTACTTTTCTGGGTCAGACAAGCAAGAATCTGTTTCTGTAAGATACATAACAAAACCTGAATGATCTCATACTTAATACTGTTATTTGAGCAAAGAAGAAAAAAATGTTTGAGTAACCAAAGGGGGTGAAGTTTGTAGAACTGTTAGTGGGATGTAAACTATTAAAAAAGCATCTTGTTAATTTGCATTATACTTTGAAGTAGAAAGTTGTAAAGTAAATACTTAGAAAATATTTCCTAAAACTGAATGTTACTACAGTTTAAAATGATCTCTTTAGGGGATGGGTGGAATTTCTATTTTTGGAGATACTTAAAACTTAGACTGGTCAAAGAACTTAAATATACTACAGGGGACTATCTTCCACTGACAGAAGGATGGACAAAATGATCTAATAAGTATTTTTTTTATCTCTAATTCTTGAATGTGTAGTGACTGCCAAGAGAGGCACACCCTCTGAGTTGTTCCTCTTATTTGCTCTAAAACTGAATGTAAGCATGCCCCAAAAGGCATTCCTGTTGTTGGTTTTATAAGGAAGATTATGTTCAAGTGTTAGACAGCAATCTGCAGTCCTTGTTAAAGCATGATTTGGCTGATTTATTCTCTACCTAAATGTCTGGTTGGTCCAGGTCTTTGTTGTGTTTTGATTTTGGGGTTTTGTTGTTGTTTTTTGTTGTGTTTTGTTTTTTTGCCTTTTTTTTTTTTTTTTAATAGGACCCTAGGTATAATCAGGGGTTTTCAGTCAGCTCTAGTCAGAAGTTGAGAGGAAGCAGTGTCAAGTGAACTGTCAGTGGCATGGCAATGTTTTATCTAGTGCAGGGAGCCAACAGTAATGTTGAAGTGTTCCTGATTGAAGGCTAACTTCTGATTTTGAGAGGAGCTAAAATTATTATTTCTCTTTTCTTCCCTTCTGCTTCCTCCCTCTTTTTTTTTTTTTTAATGTGAATGAGGTGCTAATTTCTCAGCAGCGTTCAAAGAGATGTTAAAATAAGCTGTGTGTAGAATAGAAAAGATGTTCCAGAGTCAGTGGGCTGTGGGCTCACAAATTATTCACTTTAAAATTCATGTGAAATGAAGGCTTGGTTTTTTGGCACTTTTTGTTGCCACTACAGAAACACTAGATAGTCAAAACTCAGCCGACTAATAATCCTCCCCAAATTCTGATATACTGACATTCGTGCTACACACACACACGTCAACTTGCACCCACTATTGTAAAATTGATTATTGCTCTTTTCATGTGAAGCCTGTCCAGTTCACTTTCTACTTACCTTTTTTTTTCTTTTTCCCCTCTCCCCATGATCATCTTTGTATCCATGAGACCATTTAGTCAAAGTGTCAAGACTCCAAATTTTGACATAACTGATTCACTTGGGGGCACAGATTTTCAGCTTAGAAGCACTGGATGCAGAACAGTAGTATTGTTGTACTTCCCTATGCATTTTTGTATGAAATTCTAAGCCAGCTTCTCCTGTTTTAACTATGATTGATGTCTGCTTTTTCACAGCAGTCTACGTTCAAAAAGCATGAAAGGTGTATGGCAAGATTTAATTAGTAAAATCTTCCACAGATAAGTTTTGTTTTGTTTTTTTGTTTTTTTTTTTTTCCCTCGTAGGAAGGCTGAAAGCTTAGCTATTTTCTTTTATAAAATATGTTGCAACCACTTGCCATCTGAAGCTAGAACTTTGTCAGAAAAGTTAATTAGTAAAATCTTCCACAGATAAGTTTTGTTTTTTTTTTTTTCCCCCTCCATCTGCAGACTGCATCTGAGTAAAGTACTCAAGTCAGCTTGGTGTAAGAGACGCACAGGAAAGATTCTTCCAAACCTTGTTTGAATACACCTATCATTTCCTTACCACCACCGGTTACCACCTCCTTTAAGGCTGTAAAAAAAGTTCCTGTATTTGAACTGGTTATACACTTTGCTGTACATGTAATGTGCTGTAAATGAATGGCTGTAATACATCAAATTAAAGGTCCATGTCTTACATTATCTTGTGACCCTTGCCAGATGCGCAAAGAAAAGGGACTGTATGCATAACAAGTTACCTTTAACCTCCCAGTTGTCTAGGCTTATTTGATGGCTGTAACTGAAGGATGCATCAGAACCAGTGTTTAATAGTCACTGATGGACTTCTCTTCCCTTAATTAGGCTAGCTACTTTTTGAACCCATTTATGCTCTTGGAATGTATGCCAGATCCTGTGGCAATGAGTTATGCAATTTAATTGCTCCTTAGATGAAAAGTACTTTTGCTTTTTCATTTTAAGTGTGTTGTCTGATGCTTAAATGTGATAGCATCCACTGTACTTAATGAGTAATCTATCTTAATTTTCTCTACCTTTAATGATTTGTATACCTCTGTTAATCTCCCTCCATCCATGTGTGTCTGTCTTCCCCCTCCATAGTGCAATAAACTCCAGTTTGTATGAAATTCAGTCCATACCTCCACTCACTTCTGTTGCTGTATTTATTATCAGTAGTACTCATTTCTGCAGTAGTCTCTTAAATTTAACCTTTGACTTTTCTATGATGTGTCACTTCATATGCTTTCTAAAAATACGGTGTTTGTTTTTTCTGAAGAATATGTAGAGAAGGTTTCTCAACAGGAAGACTAGGAAAGCAATGGGATGTGTTGTTGGGGAAGATGATAAACTCTCCACTACGGAGAGCCTTTCAGCATTTTGGAGAAGAATGCCTATTAAAGACTCGAGTATAGCTGATTGTACCTTGGGGCACAGAGGGATGGACTAGAGGACTTGTTAAAGCTCTTACCAGGCTGATCTTTTCCCCTGGGATTTGGGGAGGGTGTGCTAGTGGAGAAATTCTGAGGAAAGGTTCATCTGTTTCAAAACTCTCTGTTGAATTTGTCACCGTGAAGGCTCCTTTGTCAATTTAGGAAACTGCCATAAGCAGCTTCAAGGGAGAACTCGTCCTCTTTCTGCCTAGCCTTCTGTTTTCTAACTGGTGGCTGCCCCTTGGGAGCAACATTTTCAAAATCTTCACGTTACTACTTTCTTCCCTCCAAGCATTGTTTAGAAGTAAGCAGAGAGTTGGGAAAGGCAGTAGTTAGTACAGCACGCCTATTTGCTGCGATTTTATTCCAAAGGGCAGTTATTATCTACCAAGATAAATATTTATATTATATTTCAGCTCTACGTGGAAGAGACATCTTAGCGATAAGGCATGTGTCTGCTGTTAAGGTTTAAGAATTGCAACCCCTTTTGAAGCAGCATCTAGGTTGTGATCATTTTTAAGTACAGGCAGTTCACCATCCAGCTTACAGAAAGAGAAATCTGATGTGCCTGGGCCTGTGTTACGCGGAAGATACTCCTGGAATTCATAAACAATGCTTCACATGTGAGATAAAGTTTTCATTAAAATGGGAAACTTCTGTTTCAGCCATCTGCAGCTGGGTGTGGCTCTCTGGGTTGATGAAGTAGTTGTTGTTCAAGGAGTGCCTTAAGGCTCTTCAGCCTTGCCCCTTCAACAAGTGTGAGCTGCGACCATGGAAGTCAAAACACCAGAGCACAGATCAGAGTGTGTTCTGGGCCAGCACGGCCTGGCCAGTGATCTGGAGTGTTGGGTAGTGCGCTCCCCACTGAAAAGGGTACGCTTATGTTAGTCGCTGCAGGCTTTCCCAGGGAAACTGGGGAGGAGTACTCTACCTCTCCGTGCAATTAAAAAGCTGAAGGTTAAGGAAGGGCTAAGATGCACATAAGTCAAAATCAAGGAGCAGCATGGATTGAATTCCTTACATAAATAGATCACAATAAATGAAGGGGGAACTCCCCCCAGATATATGAAAGCCGCACTGAGTCATGTAATCTGTCCTGGGCTTGCCTGGTAATTTACTTGAGATCCTGGAGGAGAGCTCTTGATTTTCTGCCCCTCAGTTGAGTTTTAGGGCCGGGCTCGGATTTAACTTTTGTGGATATTATAATGTTAATTAGAGGTGTGATACTATATTTATGGCAAAGAAAAGCACATTTCCATAGCCTTAATTTATCTTGGCAAGCAGTGTTTTTACCTGATGTAATTGAGGTTGGGAGAAGATGGAAGGGCAGAAGGGAAAAGAGAAAGGTGTAGCTTATATGGTGAAAATTTTTTTTTTTTATAGTCTGTGGTGCAAACTTATCAGGAGACCTGATGTGGTGACATAAGCAAAGCTCCTTTAGTGTAGACTTGGTTTCAATCTGTTTTCTCCCGAGTTTAACATCCTTCTATGCTTTCTTGATGAGTCCGTTTTGAGAACCATTCTAAGGCATGAAAACCCAAGGTTAGGCTCAAAAAGAGCACCCAAATTATAGTGAATGTTTGGAATCAGTCCTGTTTTGAACGAATGAGAAAGATATAGATGCAGGCTGCAAGTTCTAAGATTTAAGAGTTGTTGAACGTGTCTCTCTTCTCCGGACCATAGCGCTCTCAGCACATCAGGTACCATACTTCTCCCATTCTGTTTTCTGCTGTGACCCAGGGACTGTTGATCTGCCTGTGTTAATCCTGTGACATATTGGGACAATAGTCGCCTCTGACACTCAGCCATAGCCGACTTCTAAACCTTCCTCTGTTGCTGCTGTTTCACAAATGGTGATCCACTTGACATGTAAATTTTGGATACCTCACTTCTGTAAGAATGGAGAGAAATTTTCTCCTTCTGTGCCTGGTCACTTTCCACTCTCCTGCTGGATGTGTCGATTTGATGCTAAGCGTCTCTACTAGCAGCTAGGACTTTCTTACCTCTAATATTCGGCCATTTCGACAGTCTTCTGGCCTTGACTGTAGTGATTTTTCCCGTGTTGAAATAGGCCAGTTTGCACGTAATTAGACATTTGATTTAGGCTGATCTTTATTCTAGTTGTGAGTATAAAATACTAATTCCAAGGAAGAATAAATAGGCTCCCAAGTTCTGGATCAAGGAAACATTTGAATAAATAAGGAGCTAAGGAATGAATTTATTCACAGTTAAATGAAAAAGGATCTAGAAATATTAAAAAAACTTTAGTAAGATTATATTCTACTAACTTTAAAAAAAGAAGAAAGAAAAATACATTCCAAGGGCCTTTTTTGCCTTTTTGTTTTCATTAGTTGAGTGGCTTTAAACTATACTGACTGAATTTTCTTCCATTTAATCCTGTGAAACGAACTTCTTTCTCTACAGAACACATACACCAATGCAGATAAGCTCCTAGAAGCAGCTGAACAGCTCGCTCAGACTGGGGAGTGTGACCCGGAGGAAATTTATCAAGCTGCCCATCAGCTCGAAGACCGGATACAGGATTTTGTTAGGCGTGTGGAGCAACGCAAGATCCTGCTGGACATGTCTGTGTCCTTTCACACTCATGTTAAAGAGGTAAAACTGCTGCTAAGTCACGGTCATAACTTTAAGCCTCAAACCCGATATTGTCCAATGTTGCTTTCATCGTAAGAACCTTGCCATAGCAAGTCATGAACCCCTATTGTACGGTGGGTTTTGGTTTGCAATTCACTGTGGATTGGGGGCCGGGGTAGGGTGGTTGTTTTTTTTATGGATTTATTTATTTATTTGTTCTATTTTCTTTCTTTCACAAGCAGCTTCTACCTCCTTTGTTGTGCAAGTACACAGGCTTGTTCAGTCACGGGGAACCGGGGAGGGTCAGATCAGGGAACTGATACAGCTAAGAGAGACAGCATTGCCGGGGGAGATACTGTGCACTTCTGTTGATTTTGGGTTTTTTTGTTGTTGTTTTTGTGTTGTTTGTTTTTTTTTTTTATCCAACCAGCTCTCCAGTGTAGTTAACTGAGTTGTCAGACACATGGTTAGACTGACACGGTTCAGGAGACTGAAATGCATGGCAGAAGCACAAGGCTACTTAAGGCAACCCTGCTGCCCAGAGAGACTTTGTTTTCTTTCTGTTTTACACATTGCATTTTGATCTTGTATATTGATGGTTCTTCACAACCTAAAGAGCTTATCTGATAATGACAATGATTTACCTTATGTTTGCAATTTTTAGTCTCCTTCAAAGGTTAAACTGATACACCAGGAAAAAGAAAATTCAGCCAAACACACTTAATTTTCAGCCAGATCAGTCTTCTGCTCCAATTCAGAACACAGATCGTACGAGTTTATAAGCTCATGGGAGAGGGTGAAATAGGCTAGAGCAAGAATAAGGACTTCAGTAAGGGGTTTTGGTTGAAGGTAGTGGCAAATTTTGACAACTGTAGATTACTTGTTTTCTGTTTAGAGCTCGTTAAATGTTCTCGCTGCTCAAACTAGGTGAAAATATTAAAGGCTTCTGGATCACAGCATGTCAGAGTATGTGTCTTCCTTCCCTTCACCCTACATCACGAAATGGTCTGTTCAGTGGAGAAGTATAGTATTCAAAGTAGCTTCTTCAGCAAAACCTTTTAGAGGGTAAGGGTGGAAGTTTTTTGTATGTGAAACATCTGCTTTGCACTTGAAACAAACACACCAGGCAATTGGTCTTTGAAGGAGGTCAGGATTGAATTACTTCTTTAGCTCTAGACCTGAGTACATAGCTCCCCCATCAGTTTTCTGTTAGATGCTTCGTTGCCGATACTCTCCCAGGACTCTGCTTGTTTAAACAAAACATAAATGCTGTATCGTAAGCTATTCTTATGGGGCAACTTTTTTGTTTCACTTTTCTCAAGCACATAGTGCTGTTCCATGACCTGTTGTGAAGCACAGGAACAGTCAGCTGCTGAAACATGTTCATTGTTCCTATAGACTTCTTCATTACATGTTTTTCTTAGCATCAAGAAGAGCAGCTGGAACGGTATTTAAATGGCTAGAGTTGGCCGTAGTGATGAAAGACGGATACTGTAAAAGGATTTGCAAGGAAAGGGTTTTAAAAAAATCCCAAAAAACAAAAGGCAGGCTGATCTGTGAGTCACTATTGAGTAATTCTGAGAGGCTGATCCAGATGTGCTGGAATGTTGCCACTGCTCCCCTAGATAATAATGTTTTATTGGAAAAAAAATATATTCTGTATCTTGATTTATTTCTTTGGGAAAATGGATGTTATTGTGACCCTGTAAGTGCACACGGCTGTTACTATGGCACCCTCTTTGCAGCCTGGACTTTGGGGGAAAGGTACTGTGGCTGATGCACACATGTTGATTTTTTTGTTTTGTCATGTGGCTGACATCTATACCTAATAAAGCAAGGAAAATTAAAAAGAGTACTTATTTATGTAAGCAAGACTATCTTTTTATTTATTTGCATTCTACTTAAAAATACAGGTGAGAGAGTGAGGCAGGTGGTTCATGTTTAGTAGACTAGTCCTTTGGTTATGGTGCGAAGAAATAGCAAGCTCAAAGCTGTCTTGTGCTTTCTGTATTCTGGTCTGTTTTCAAGAGCATGTTGTTTGTTATCAAACATGCGTGTGGAGTGTTGAGAAGGCATCACAAAGCAGATGGAAGATAAAAATGCCCTAAACCTGAAAGTCATCCATGCTTTGTTGGCAGGAGAATTGCATTTCTCCTGCAGGATGTGGAAAGTCGCTGAATAAATCAGTGCATACCTGTAAGCACATAACCTTTCTGCTGTATGGTGGAGTGAAGAAATCAATGTGCATTCTTAGCTGGTGAAGAGAGGAGTTCAAGTAGTAGGATAATTTGCTAGTTGTTGAACCAGAAAGAGATGTTTCAGTTGTTTAAAAAAAAAACAAAAACAAAAACCCCACAAAAAAACCCTCCAAACAAATCAAAACAAAACACCACCAACATGTTTTGCCCTTCAAATATTCAGGGTGAATTTTGTTTCTTGTATCTTTTTTGTGTTTTTCTGGTCTGAAAAATAGGCATGAAGAATAAAAACCCTGCTTGTGTGTGACAGTTTGGAGGGAGCCACAGAGCTGAGAAAAGTTGGTGATCTGAGTCGTTGGCTGTTTTGAGGCTTTGAAATCTGGCTCCGATATCCATCCAATCCCTTGATTTTTCTGAAGTAGGATGTTTTGTTGTGTTTTATTCTTTTTCCCAGAAATACTTCATGTTGAATGAATGCACCTCATCTGCATGAGAGCATTCCAATACTACTTCTCCCCTGTAGCTTCACATAACCTTTATACTTGACACAGAATTTGCCTGCAACTTTTCCCAGCTTCCCTGGGAAACATCAGCCCTTCAGTGTCTGCACAGTACTGTTACTCTGTTCACGCATAGTAAATCAGCACAGTTTCTGCTTTTAGAAGCAGCCTGCTTGCCACAAAAGCAATAGATCGGCTTGACGTGTCTTGGAAGTAACAGACTTTTGCTATACCTGTGGGCAAAGCAGCTGTGTAGTACGTGTGCAGCAGCCTGTTACGATGCACATTGGAAATGCTGGTTGTCTCTAACATTTCCAGAAGTTCTGTAGCCAGGTGGTTACAAGCTGGTAGAGCTCCCTGTGGCTTACAAACATCAGAAAACAACATAGAAGTTTTCAGACTCCTCATAGACTAACCTTAATAGACCACATTTCTCATTGGGGAAAAAAAGGATGTATTCAGGGAAGCTAGAAATATGATGTTATGTAATGGTATTGCCATTACTCATTTTGCTTAACGGTGATCCAAGAAAATCAGTTGCTTGCTGTATATGTAAATTGTGATTCCATGCTGTTATGTTACTACTAGTTTTAAGTTTGCAAGGTTGTGAACATTGACACTTAGCTCCCATGCAAACAGCGAGAAATTTCAGTCTATAAGCCAAATTTTTCAGTAAGTGATGTACTGAAGTTAAGTCATGCACTGGCAAGCTTTAAAAGTGTTTGGGACCATAAATATCCCTATCAGAATCTTTGCATTGAAAGTACTGTGTCCTGGCGGGTTCCCAGCCTGAGGGTGGATAAAATGCAACTGAGCATCTGAACAGGTTGACCGTTGCAAGAGGGTGAATCCCTTACGGCTTTTGTGCCTTCTGACATTTAATAATATGAGGAGGGACAAGAGGAGAAAAAAAATTGCACAGATAACAGATATGTTTCCTAAATAAACGGTTATCATAAAAGGTTGTGTGCAAAACATGGGAGCAAGAGTCACAGTAGTCTTTGCTGTGAAATCTGTCACCCAGTAGAGATGAACAGGATTTTGGTGTGAATTCGAATTCTTCCATACACACGTGTACAGAGACACATGCGCACACACTCTCTCTGAAATGGTTCCCTCAGCATCTGTGAGTGGGAAGACTGAAATCCTGGCCAAGCCAGGTGTTTGTAGTAGTGCCAAAGTAGAGCAAGAGAGATTTTCCTAACTGGAGTCAAGTGTGGGAATACAGATCAGAGCTGAATGTATGTGGAAGAGAATGATCTCTTCAGAGCCTGTTGGCTTTTTGCATATAACCTTTTGTGTGTATTCTGACAAGTTGACTATAAAATAGCTCAGAGCGCTTTTTATGTATACACAATATGCTTAATGGTGTTACTAGATGTCTCTCTTCTTTTTTTCATCTACTCGAACTAAACTTTACACCAGAATAAACTGAGGTTGAAACAAAGAAAAAGGAAGTGGAATTGGCTAAGATTTCAAATGCAAAACCTCGCTCTTCCTGAACAAAGGTAATGAAACAGTAGTGTGTGCAAGCTGTTGAAGGAAGGTGGCATCGTTTTGAGGGTGCCAGTGCATGGGAAGGCTTGAGGAGGCCTTGCTCTGGCCATAATGCTGCCGATTCATTCATATCTACTTATGAGGCATGTGTATTTGATTCAAAAAAGCTTGTTGATAATGGTCTCGCTTTGTCTCACAACTCGCTGCCAGAAATATGCCCTCCTTTGCATTTTCCAGTATGGAAGGGTGTCCATCCGTGCAGCCTTTCATTTCTTTCATCCCAGGGTGGACCCTGAGGTGACAGACCTGCTCTTCTGCTTGCCTGTCATTCCTGAGTCTTTGAGTCTTCTGTGCTGGGTGGTCCACAGCTTAAATGTGGATGTCATAATAAGGCTGCTCTCTCCTCTGCGTGCCCTTTCCAGGCAGCAGAGCAGCTTTTGGATGCGCCCATCGAAGTGTGAGGGCTCTGTCCCTTGGGCTTTTGTGTGTGTCTAATATTTTTGTCATGTCATTATAGCACAGCAATGCTCAGTGTGATGGGTCTGGCAAAATATATGAAGTGCAGTCTCTGGTCAGTACTTTGATATGCCGGTCATCTTGAATCTGAGAGTTGAGGAGGACAATTTTTAAATCTGAAATGAGAGAAACACATTCAGTGGCAGCACACTGAAGTGTGTTGTGGTTTACTGGTTTGGTAGGACTAGAATCCAGTTTACCCAGCACAGATTTTCTCTCATGAGTTTTTCTATGCTGGTAGCTACTTTGCTTGAAAACAGGGACCAAATTTAAGTCCAAACTTTACTGAAATAGCACTAAGTGCTTGAGAGAAGTGAGGCAGAAATAGGCCTTTAAGCTGTGTGAAGCTATGGTATAGACATTTTTTTCTTGTTCAGTTAAGAAATGGAATGAATGCTAACAGGCTACTAGTAGTTGATGTAGTTTTAGGAAGATGTGAGAAACTTGGTTTTGCTTTAAGGATGAATTTATTCTGAATAGGAAATTGATTCCATTATAATTGTAGAATAGATAGGGATATTTGAAGCTTTTTAAGATAATTAAATCTAATTTTCAAAAAATATGCATGCATTTAGTATCTTAAATGTCACTGAAAGACCCTGGAAGACAAACTCCTGGGGATTTAACATCTTACGTTTTTTGTTTTTAAAAAGATACAGTTTTTGTCCACTGCATGTCCTGAAAGCCAAAGCTTACAGGCAGACACGCAAACATCAGCCCCCTTCTATGCCCAGATATACTTGCTAGGGAAACTATTGCAACATTTAGCCCTGTACAAATAATAGCTTCTTCAACAACTGTGCCTGTGGTGATACACATACTGCAACACTGTGCTGGGGGGCAGGGGCAGAAAAGAGGAATTGGCAGTTTTTAAATGCAGAGACTGTGTGCCTGCCTTTGCCTTACCCTGCTGAAAAGGCTGGCTGAATAGCCAAAAGCCATTATTAAAAAAATGAAAAATAAAATAAATTGCGAAAGAGAGTGACAGATATTTTACCCTAATAAAATAACTCTGTGCACTTGGGAAGGTATTTACTCAAAAATAATTGTTCTCTGGTTATATTTGGCAAAATACTGTACGGTCTTATTTAGTTGCAGTCTTTCAGGAGATTGCAGGGATGGGACTTAAATGGATAGAGGCCCATGATGGAAACACTGAAACTTCCAGGATGTTGCAGACAATTAAAATAATACCATCTCGGTGACTAATGGCATGCTCCCAAGAACTTAGGAAAGAGGTAGCACAGGATACAGGCTCGTTCAAGCAGATGTTTCTTAGTCTGTGCTATATTTAGATCAAGAAAAAAAAAATCTGCTGGGTGAAACATTTGCCTGTCAGGGATTCAGAATTTGATTTCCCTCTCCAATTTTAATTCTGGTAAGATGTGAAGAGCGGATGAAAAGAGCAGAAGAGCCTCCTTCTGTGACTGGATTGAGTTATTGATACGGTTTTCTCACTGTATGTTAGAGCTGTCTTGCCACTGGATAAAGTTCTTACTGAGGTCACAGGACTCGGTGGTTTGTTTAGGGATCTTCATGCTGCTTGTTTTACAGAGAATAGAAAAAAACATGCCTGGAAGTTGCTCAAAAGTTCACACTGAGAGAACGTTAATAGTTTTTTAATGACGAGTTTGTTTGTTTTTTTTTCCCCCACTGGATTTTTGTTGCCAAGCTCTCTTTTATGGAATAATGCGTTACCTCAGAAAATCATTGCACTATAAAATCAGTAGTTCTGCACTGCTGAACGTGTATGGGTAAGCTCCAGTCTCTGTTCACCCCCCACTGTAAACTGGTTGCTTTCTTTTGGCTTTGCTGTGCAACCTTGTATTGTCTTCATCCTTTGTTTTGTATCCGAAAACAAGGTAATTTATGTAATTTCCAGTATATCCAGTGCTCATTCTGTTTTTAAAGCTCTATACAAGCCAGCTGGCTATAGCCATCCATTATGAATGAAGCTCCTTGCAGTAAATTGCATTAATTTCTATCCAGCTTTAATAACCTGGCAGTTTTGTTCATCTGTGTTGGCTTTATTCTAACTTTTGTGTATAAATATCAAGATTATTTTGAGGGGAAGCTGTTTGTCAGAAACCTACTTACCGGAAGAGTGTAAAAAGCTTATTTGGTAATGTATTAGAGTAACTTTTGCTATGGAAGTGTCACAGAGCTGTTTAGTGACTTCAGAAATGGCTTAAATTGTTCCACTTTCAACAGTGTATGAATCACAGCTAGACAAGTAATGCATACTAATTACTATCCTTCTCTTTCTGCACATTTGTAAAATGTTTTTCCTGCGCAAGCAGTGGGCAATTCAGCTAATGAAGTAGGCAAACGCAGTGTATTTTTGAGCCCTTTGGTACCTTAGGGGCAAGATACTATGTTTACAGTCATGCCGTGCTGACCAGGCACTAAGCCAGTTGGCGTTAACACTCTGTTGTGCTGGTGCCCATGTCTTTCTGCTCTAGGCAGGTGGTGTTGCTTTGAACTGGCTGCGCAGAAGGAAAAGTCTGCTTGTTCTGTGTTGGCTTGGTCTCCAGCATCCAGGGCAAGCTTTAAGGGAAGTATTCGCATGCACAGTACATCACCAGCCCAACACTTAAAAGTTTCGTTGCTCCTGCCAGGTCCTCTCCACCCAGTTACAGAAGTGGCTTGATGCGTATGTGAAGAATAAGAAATGCAGAGGTGAGGTGTCCCTTGTACAGGTGTGACACAACCCAGCTGCAAAAGACATATTGGAAAAAATTGAAGTGGTTCTTAGACCTGCCTTCAGCCACAGTGCAGGTGCTTGTACAGGAGCCAAGGGGCAAACTTGATATAGTCCAAGAGACTCAAAATGGCTTTAATTCCAGTTTGTCTGTAATAAACATCTCTGAAAATTGGGCCTTTATAGACAGTGCAATAAGCGTGAGGTAGAGCTCGTCCAGCTAGCACCAAAAGCATGAGATCTGCAGTCAACAACAAAGTGTTACTCTCAGATGAATATATTTGCACAGTTGCAAGCTGCACTGGTTGTGTGAACACACCAGCTCACTTGGAAGGTCTCTGACACGGTGTCCTATTATTACGGTTCAGACATAAGCTTCACAAGCTAGGAGAGGAATAAAAAGATGGCCGCTGGGCATTGAAAACTGAGTAAAGTTTTCAGGTTGTACTGTCAGGCTTCTTGCTCTTAAGTTTCGTTTGCCTCGAAGTGAAATTTGCATTCCTAAGTATGCATTTGGGGAAAAAAAAATTTTGGATGCTGCATTGGGTTATGCTGGAATGAATGTTGACGAGTGCTTTTGACCCACTTGCTAAGTTCTGTTGATTTGTGCTCCTTTTAATGAGAAAGACTGCTGTGGCTTGAGCTTGTGGTGTTTACGACTATGGAGTTGCATTCAGATCTGTGACAGGCATTGTGTTTGAAGCATATGAGTAGTCAGAATAACACAGTGTGTATGAATAGGCAGTTCCGTTTTGGGGGGTGGGTAGTAGATTTGTAGAAAAGAGTCTGGTTAAATCTTATTAATTCTTCCCAATTTGTGAACATTTAGCCTATAGCTTGGTTAACTCAAAACCTACCTCAGGAGGCATGTAAGGCTCTAAGATATAAAACCTAGCATTTGGTTTTAAAGTAAAGCTTCAAAGGAACCAATTAATCAAGATCTAGAATCCTTCATTGAATTTTCTATTTTAATGTGGCTCCATTGGTAGTTAGGAAACCTTTATGATCAGAACATTATAGAAACAGCAGCATGAAATGGGTATTTCTGTAGAAAATGTTAAGCAAAGAAATAAAACATTTATTTTTCTGCCTTTTGAAATTAAGCCGGTTTGATTTGCTTACTGTCTGTATTTTAACTACGTTAACCTTTTAATTAGGTTCAAAGTTAATAAAGCCTATTTGTATCTAAAATATATAAAGGCAGAGATTAAAATGTAGTCAAAAGATCTTAATACTTTTCAATCAGAACAGAGTTGTTATTTCAGGATAAAAACCAAACTCTAATCCTTGTTCTTGGAATCGCAGGGTTTGGGATGTGATGGTAAAATAGAGAGGAGGGACCCGGTTTGAATGCTTCCCGTGAGAGTAGCCGTTTTGTTGTGCTGTTAGCGCTGCTCACGGGAGTGCTGCAGCAGACAGTTGTGCTCCCTCTCTTCAAGAGGTGCTTTTATCAGTTGCGCAATAGATGGCTGATGGTTTGTTGATGAATAATTTTCACGCGGAGCTTAGGATGCAACAGCTTGCCTCATGAAATTGTGGAGAAGAACACAGCAGGCTTCAAGTGACCAGTAGTGATACCTAGCTAGCATATACCTATGGATTTTTCCATAAGCTGCAATGCATGTGGAGTTCTGAACAGGAATACGTGCATGTGTTAAGGGCGGGGGGGAACGTTGAGTTAACGGGTGGAATTACTTGTGATGATTTTTGTTGTAATAGTGCAAAATTGAGATCAAGAGGGTAAACACCACAGCTGTAGAGATCATGATAGAAAAATAACTTCTCACATCTGATTTTTCTCTGTATTTTGTTTTCTGAAATGCCGTTTTCTTTTTCCTTTTTTTGAAGGCCACTGAAAAGTGTTGTGTTATCTGTGTGCATGTGTCAGCCTGGCAGTGTAAACTTGATGGTGGCTACAATACATCTCCCTTCCTTCCTTCCTTCCTTCCTCCCTTCTCTCAGGGAGTGTTACCATAGCATTTCCCTCCCAGGGACTCTCTCGCAGAGCTGCAGATGGGATTCTCGCTATGAACTCTGTGCTGCTCAATCGGATACGCTCAGTACTGTAGAAGGAAAATGGGAAAGAAAGGGTGACTTAGCAACACGGATAAAGCTTTCCTGGTATTTCCAAGAAGCAAAAACCTTATTTGAAACAAAGGCTCGTTTTGATTAAATTGAGGATGGGATTTTTCTATGAAGAGAAACAAATCCTGTTTCTCCCCCCCACCTCAGTCTGTTTTCTCTTGTCCAGGGAGATTGATAGGGAATAGTGACTGCCTGATCCTGGGGCTTACGTTTCTTTTTTTTCTTTCCCCTCTCTGCTTTAGCTGTGGACATGGCTTGAAGAGTTACAGAAAGAACTGCTTGATGATGTCTATGCTGAGTCTGTGGAGGCTGTCCAAGACCTGATTAAACGTTTTGGTCAACAACAACAGACCACTCTGCAGGTTACAGTCAATGTCATAAAAGAAGGTGAAGATCTTATACAGCAACTAAGGTAAAACAATTTTTTATTTAAATCTCCTCTGGTGTATGTCTGATATTCTGTGAAGCTCTTTCTGTTCTGAGGGTAGAGATGATGACTGCAAGATATGACCTATAAATAAAACTTGTAAATATTAGGACTACAATGATGTTTCATGCTGTACTGATGGTCTCTAACCCTCTGTTTACAGGAAGCTCAACTTATAAACACTAACTACCTCCACAAGAAGGAGATTTTGTTTACGTAAGCTACCTTTGTAATAGGAGCAATCATATGTCTTTGTAGTCTGACATGCAGGGCTCCACAGCATTTTGAGTTCTGAGCAGCAGCCTTTTTATAAAGAGTCGCTTGGAATTGTTTTGCAGACTGATAAGAAACGTTATTTTAAGTTTGCAGTCAGTAACAATCTAAATAAATTTGGGCCCCAGTTGCACTGGTACATGTCCCCTTTGCTGCAGGAGCTGATATTATCATATCTGAATTTGCAGGTTTTATACTAAAGTAAAAGATGAAGTGGGGGTTTTTTTATTGTTATCTAATTTTGATTTTTTTCATTGCCGGGAAGGTTCAGTAAAGTAAATAGTTATCATATGCCACTTCCTTTTCACAATATAAGGGTTTGTCTCTGGTTTTAAATTTTATTATTCCTGTAAACAGAATGTCCTTAAGTGTTGAATTAGTCAAAAAATGAAAGAAATCTAATTTCCTAAGGCTTTTTCAAGTACTAAAACATAATTTGGACTTTTATTAACAAAGATGAACAGACTTAGCTTTCATGTAATATGACTTGCACTGACCTTATCTGAAACAGTCTTACATTTTGTGGTCATGTATAGCATCCAAATTGTATGGGTTTTTTTCAATAATACTTTTTTCTTTTTTTCGCTTCCCCCCCCCCCCTCCCCCCCCCCCTTCCCCCTCTCTCTGCTTTGAATAGGGATTCTACCATTTCTAGTAACAAGACCCCCCATAACAGCTCGATCAACCACATAGAGACAGTCCTGCAGCAGCTGGATGAGGCCCAATCTCAGATGGAGGAGCTTTTTCAAGAACGCAAGATCAAGCTTGAGCTGTTTCTGCAGCTCCGCATATTTGAAAGAGATGCAATAGATGTGAGTGTCTGCTCTTGGAGTTGCACTGCACTTACTTATTCTCTTGTGTAGGAACGTTTATGCTGAGATGGTTGTGTACTTGCATTGGCATGTGGCTCAAATGACTGGTAGACTTAGTTCTTACCTGAACTAAGGCTTTTGTCTTGTACGTGAAAGTGTCAGGAGAGTGCAGAGCTGAGCTTTTTGATATTAACTCCAGCTCTGATTGGCTCCCAGTGTGTCTTTAAGCAAGTGTCTTGCAAAATCATAGTGTACCAGTTGCTTCATCTGGTAAGTTTGGTTTGAAGGTCAAGCTACCTTGACATAACTAGTATGCTTACGGTTAATATGAGTAAGACTTGCAAGATTGTTTAGTACAAACCCTCTAAACTGTTGCTTTGTAGTAACACCCCTCTTCTCTCTCTTTGCCAATTCAGCAGTCTTTTTTCAGTTGACAGCTACAAGTGGTGCTTGGAATTCTGTTTTAATTTTCAGGGCTGTTGTATGGGCTGTCTGTCTGTCTTTTTTTTTTAAATAAGATTCTTTTCCACCTCTGAAAATAATGCAAAAGCAATTGTAGTGCCACACCCCTGCAAAACTTCAAGAAGTTTTGAGACTGTCCAAATCTTGGAGGAGGGTTACAGCTTATCAGCTGGAAAGTTTCTGTTTGTATGCAGGGACATGCAACAAACAGACATGAAACTCCATATGGAGCTTAGGTTAATAGAATTGCATTATAAAGCTTCAGCTAAGTTGATCATATGACTTCTGTAAAACCACCAGCGCTGTACACAGTGGCTGAAACTGAGTTGGTGCCTCAGAGGTTCAGGGTTATCCATTGGTAAATGATCCTGTTTGAGTATATAAATGGCTTATCTCGAGACTCTGGAAACTGGGAGTTACGGTGATAATTTTACCCCTTTGCTTGTACATAATAAAAGCTGCAACTGTTGGTTAGGTACGAACAGTGCAAGGGTAAAGAGGCAGTCAGCAGAAGTGATAGCTTCTCAGGTTTCTTTTTCTTAAAATTAGATATCATTGCTGAAGTCTGGTTTAGCTAAGCACATTGTTAGGAGCAGTGCAGGAATAGGCAGACACAGTTCCTTGATCCGTGCCCATAGAGGAAGTGAGAGTGTGCGCTCTACCGTAATAACAACTCTTGTGTAAAGAAGACTAAGAAGGTTCTTTATTTTGCAATTCACACTGAGGAGATGAAACTAGTCTGCCAGGAGTTTGCTGCTTTGATTATGTGAGAGTAGCTGTCTTGAATATGCAAGGAAAAGGCTTGGCAGAATTGTGATTGTAATAATTAGTTGGATGATTGGTATATGTGGAGGAACATAGAAGGTATCCCCTTTTACAGGATTGTCAGCAATTTTACAATCTCCACAGAAACGATCTGCAGTGCTCAAGGGGGTCTGTGTGATGTTCTCAGAACACTTTTATTTAGGAGATAGCAGCCGTGGGGGGCAAGGCATATACCAAGAAAATTAATGGAAGAATTAGGTTAAAGGTTTGAGTGAAGTTCATGATTAAGGTGATTGCTCTCTGCTGTAGGTTACCTAAACCAGTATTCTACAATAGCAGAAGGCTGGTTGCAGGAGCCTGCTTTGCAGATGTGTTCTAGTCCTTCAGTACAAGATAGCATCTGTATAGATAGTAGTACTTCTGTGTATGTTGTTTGGTGATGGCCATAGGATTTTGCAGTGGAAAGCCGCATATCCTAACTTGACAGGTCTTGCTTTTTCTGAAGCTGACACTTGGCATGCTTTACATTTTGGCACATAAAACATATAGCAAAGTACCAATTACCTTGTTGAAAGAGTTGGTGTGTTTTGTTTATATGGCTTGGAAACAAAAATCATGCTTATTTAAGATGGCCAAGGAGCCCTCCAGGGAACAAAACGACCCTGGCTGCAGAGTGTCTTCAGCAAAATGTTGATTGCTTTGCTGTCTCTCTACCATGTCCTCTCTCTGCTTCCTCAGCAAAGCGTGCTTCTCTTTTCTCTCTCCCTGAAGGCAGACATCTGTTCAGAAACTTCCGGGAAGAAAATGCAGGGACTAGTTCCAGGTCAGTTGTTTGCAAGCAGAAGCTCAGCTGAAGTAACATGATAGTGAGGAGGAGCCAGATGCCAGCTAGGAACTTGCGGACCTTGTTTTGACCTCCTCCTTTGTCCTGGATTTTGTGTGACTGGCCCAGTCAATTAAGACTTGGCTGTAGGGGCAGTTCATTTAGGGGAGCATCCTGTGAGGACATGTTTTTCTGGAAGGCGAGTAGTGTTTCTAGCTTGTCTTAGTGCTTGCAAAATAACACAGGCTAAAATGGGACAAAGGGTTCCCCTAGCATTGCAGGATCATACCATGCAGCTGTGCTTCTAGGGGCAGTGGTGAGATTTGCTGGCAGGGTTAGTCCTCCTCTTCTTCTCCTTATTCTTCCCTTATTATTCGCTGACAAAATACTCTGTTTCTTTTAGTTGCTGTCTTTTATCCTGCAACTTTTCAGATTCTCCTGCTCTTCTGAAATTGCTGTAACTGCAGCACTGTCTGTGTTTTGCCCCTTGCTCTTGGCATATAAACTTGACCTTCTCTATCCTCAGTAGGCTTTTAAGTGCCATTGGTCCTGAGCTATTTGAAGGAGACTGTTGCGAATGCCTGTATTAATTAAAGGCAAGAAGGAGCAAAATGTGTGCAGAGAGTCCCTTGCTAGGGTGATTAGTAGCCGTAAGGAAGATGTGTATGGACCTAGCCGGTGGGTAGGTAACACTGGTGGCAATGTATGCAGCCTGAAATGTGTGTGTCTCATCTGTGTCTGTGCATTTTTGCTTGTCTGTAACTTAAATGCCTTGAGGCCTATGTCAGGGCTCTGCAGAAAGCATACCACACACTTTTCAACTCGCAGCTTTATCTCTACTCTATTTTTGGACCGTACTTACAAGATGCCTGTTAAGTCATACAACTGAAAAGGCAAGGATGTAAAGTGCTGGATCACAGAGACCTAACTCTTCTCCCTTTCCCATTTTACCTTTTTCTTTCTCCCCAGCACATAATATTTTCCAGGTCCTGGTTAGCACTCAGTTGGTACAAGGAATGCTAGTTAGACCCTTCTGAGAAGACACTTGTGGTTCTTTATTTCTTTCCCACTCAGTGCGAAAGAGTCGGCATCCCTTCTGTGTTATACTCTGCCTTGTGTCTTGTCAGTGTTACCTTTACGTTTGTTAAAACCTAGGAATGTCAGGCAGCTCAGACTCTGCACTAGGAACTTCTTGAACACATGCTATGGTAAGTAGTTACCCTGTGTTTGATCTGGGTTGTCCATTTCCTGAGAGCGGTATTAATTTGTGATTCAGTTGCTTTAGATATCCATTAGTCATTTATCTTTGTTCTGTTTGTTTAATGCTAATTGTCTTGACAAAACTTTAAAAACAAAATAGGAGCCTGCTCGCTCTAAAAGTGTTGCTTGTAAAGCAGAACTTCAGGGGAAGCCCTGAAGAGTGTGGGTGAAGAATGCTTAATGCATGTTATTTTTGTTTTAACTCTGCCCTCAGTGCATTTCAGATTTGCATGGTGGGTGCAATGGCTGAAATAGATCACCTTGAGCCATCCAGTTACTGCTGAAAAAGTGTAAGGATTACTGCCCTTGCTAGGAACCCCAGCTGTGATGTGCACTGACTTCTTCTCCTTTGAGTGAATGTGGGACCATGCTGGCATTATTTATTTATTTGAATCATGGGCTTTCTGATCTTTTGAAGGGGACAGGGAATGTCTTGCTCATGTACAGTGTTTCAGACTACTTTAAACAATGTGTGGGCCATGATCTTAACCTCAAGGTTGGATGAAATAACATGGGAAGAAGTTACAATTCTTACTGTTGTTCGTTGTTGTTCTTTGGAGGCAGTATCACTGAAACCTCTTGGCTGAGGTGACACATGGTGTTGACTTCTTCAAACTACCTGTCATTCATATCAGGTACAGTGAATCTCAGTCTGAGAGGACACAGTGACTATAATCTACTTAAACCATTCCATTATTATAAAAATACTGACACTTAGCCACAGCAATCTCCCCTTACGAGCTTATGGTGTTTATTACTTTATTTCCACTCAGTTTGATAGTAAGAGAGGTAAGGTTTTGGCATCTGTCCTGAAGGGAGATGGACTGGCTTTGTTTTAAATGTGCCATGTTAAATCTTAATCCACTTTTTAACGGTGTTTAGAAAGACGGTGAAAGACGATGTTTTGATGGCGGAGTTTCACAACCTTCGTTAATGCTTGGATTTTTCAGTTTGACCAGGTCTAACTACAGTTACTTCTTGAGGATAACTTATGAATGTTGTTAACTGAACTGGATGAAAATAAGACGGTAAATCTGATTTGTGAGAACTTCCATAGTGCGGTGGGTGGTTTGAAGAAACAAATGTTGGGTGACCTCCGCTGCTTTTGGTAGTGAATGAACACAGTTTTGAAGATGAGCTGGAAGGAGCAGGTCTGAGGTCCCTGAGAGCAGAAAAGGGGGTTAGCTGGAAGTAAGTGGTTTCTCAGGCTGGACTGTCAGGAAGACTTGAAGTTTCTGCAAGATTTCAAGTCAGTTAAAACGAGATGAAGAGTAGAGGGAGGTGATGAGACATGTTGGGCATGGACCAAGTAAAAGGGAAGTAAAGGGAAGTTGTGAAGGATTTTGTGGGAGGGGAAGCCTGTGTGTTTGTTGAGAGGGGAAACCACTCATAATGCATAAATAAATTGTGTGTGTAGTGTTTAGAGCACATGGAAGAGAGATGAAAGAAGCTTTAAGCAGTGGCTAAAGGCTTTGTCCTGTGTATCTTCCTGCATCACTTGTCCATCAGCTTTTCTGTTTTCCATGTTACCCCTGAAACATGAGTTTCTGCCTGTTTTCACTTGGGTAGAGCTAGCTGATCAGGGTTAGGGATTGCAAATAGCTATCCTAATTGTTTGGTATCTCCCATCATGGCACGATGCAAAACTTGAATACTTAGTGAATCAAGTAAAATTTTTGCAGAACACCTTTAAAACAGGAAGTAAACTCACTGATGCCACAATTTTAAAAATAATTGCTTGATGTGTCCATTTTTTTATGGTGCCATGTGAGCAGAATGGAAACAACCCTTCAAGAAAGATTATAGCTGACTACAGAAACTTTATACGGATGATTTAATTTTGCTTTCTCCTGAATTCTGTTTTTTCTACAAGGCTTGTTTTCCTGGAATTTCTCTTGTAGTTTGACTGTCTCAGTAAACTTCACAGCTTTGATTAACCACTTGGAAAGCATAGTGGCATATTCCTTTTGCTGACAGCAAATTACTTTGGTTAAATATTTATGCAGCCCGCTACTTTGTTGCTAATGCCCGTTTAGTCAGATCCTCTTTTTGCTGTGTCTTGCTGCATAAGTAGGTGTTTTCCTGTCATTTAGCACCACTCACATCAGTTTGTCCTTCTCTTGAAATCGTAGAACTCTGGAGCTAAATCATACTTGGTTCTTTATCTATAGTTTTGCTTTCCCAATGAACTGCAGTTGTTTGTGGCAAAACACTGCTGAAAATTCTGAAAAAGATTTGATTACAGGTTTGAGGGGTAAGTGTGTCAGACTTGTTTGAAATAAGGAACTGATGCATCAAACCTGTGCCATAAGAACTCAACCCACTTTGATCAATGGGGATTCTAAGCATTATCTGTTAGACTTAAACAGTTTTGTATCCTACTTAAAGGGAGTATTTTACATTTCAGCCAGGTTCTGGAATATGATACGAAAAATGCACTTGTGTGGGCAGGCAAGGAGGACGTACTGTTGTAGTACATGTGTTAGAAAATACTTCCTTAGCTACCCTTTTCTGGACATCTTATGGCTCAGAGTAAAATCCAGAATTGAAGTGTAAACTGAAGTGCGGCTGAATGATTTCAGCAAGTAAATTTAACTCTGATGTCACAGTAATACTGTAATAAAGTAATACTTTTTGGTTTTGCTCCATTCACTAAGTACCCTGCCTTTTGTGACAAGTAGTGCTTCTCAGTTGTCTGGCAAAAGTCGAAGGTGCTCACAGAGGGGTAGAGGTGGTTTTTTTGTAAAGGAGCTCAAGACTGGTGTAACTGAAAGCTAAGCTGGCACTTGATGTGTGAATTATTACTTGGTGCAGTCTGGAGAATTTAAAAGATGTTTTAGATCAACATTTTCCTTTAAAAGTGAAGATAAAAACATCTTAATTTTACCTGTTTCACAAGCAATGTGTTGGTGAAGGAGTACCTTAAACAAGGCAAGGGTACCCATAGTGTTGCAAGCACTGGTTGAAGGAGAGCTGCTGTGGTTCTCAAAGAGGTGGTTCTTCTTTAAAACCCATGTCTGAACCATGTTGAACCTGATCAGTGAAGTCAATTAACAATGAGCAGCTCGAGTTCCTGACCTCCACCATAAGTGCAGCATTCGAAATAAGCATACGTTGTCTAATGAGTAAGCGAACATCGTCTTCCTCCTTTTTCCCCCCAGATAATTTCAGACCTCGAGTCTTGGAATGATGAGCTCTCTCAGCAGATGAATGACTTTGACACTGAAGATCTTACAATAGCAGAACAGAGGCTCCAGCATCATGCAGACAAAGCCCTGACCATGAATAACTTGACCTTTGATGTCATCCACCAAGGGCAGGATCTGCTGCAATATGTCAATGAAGTGCAGGCATCTGGTAAGATGGCTCCTTCGTGCTATTCCGGGCAGTGGCTTTATAAGAATTATCCAGTTGTGTCTCCATGGGATGTGTGGAAATGACAGAGACGCTGGTTAACTGTAAACCGGAGACGTGGACATTTTTTTTTTCCCCTTTATACTCAAATAATTTGATAGCATTCATGAGAATATGCTGTCATTATGGCACGTAATTTTTATTTAAAAGTTGGCAACACCTGAAAATATTTAGGCTTTTAAGAAGGGGATTCCACTCAGGGAGTCAGTAAAATTAGAGCAAATAGCAGGGAGTTAATTTTATAGTTAATTGGAGCAATGCACTCAAGCCAAAATTTTCAGCGTTCAAGTAGTAAGTCTTCCTTTTTTGTTTCTTATGCCCCTTCACTTGATGTTTTTAACTGTATACAGGTACCTAGGGTAAATCTCAGGCTTCTTTTGTGGGGGGAAAAAACCCCGTTAATAATACCGCATTTTTAAAGAGTGCAAAAACTATGCTCGTTTAAGCAAATGCTCCGAGGGTTAAGTTGAACTTTGAGAAGGAACTGGAAAAGTAAGTGTAGAACAGTGGAAGCGTGCTGTCTGTCTGCGGAAGACTTGCAAGTCATTTGTAAACGGCTGGCTGCTTACAGGCGTTGAGCTGCTTTGCGACAGAGACGTGGACATGGCAACCCGCGTCCAGGATCTGCTGGAGTTCCTGCACGAGAAGCAGCAGGAGCTGGACGTGGCCGCCGAGCAGCACCGCAAGCACTTGGAGCAGTGCGTGCAGCTGCGCCACCTGCAGGCCGAAGTCAAGCAGGTACGCCTGGGCTGGGCCCCGCCCCGGGGGGGGGGGGGGGGGAGAGCTCCGCTCCCGTCAGCGCGGGGGGGGACGATTAGTTGCTGCTGTAGAAAGACTCGAGCCGCGTCTGGAGGGGGGAGGGAATTGAGCACCTAAGAAACTTCGTCCTCTCAGCGTTGTGGCTTATAATTCGCGTTAACGGTCCGTATTTCTACCTGGGTACGAGTCAAGTGTTGGGAGTGCAGAGCAATTTGAACTTACGTTAAATAATCCATACTTTTGTCATCTCTGTGGTGATGACAGTGGTATTCCCTGAACGCTGACCTAATACATCTACGAACGGTGATAACGTGATATCAGCAGGGTTTACCTTCCAGGAGAAGAAAAACGGAAGTTTTGCTTTTCCTGACAATAAAGTGGCAAGTTTTGGGGTCCTTATCTGATAAACACCTAAACTTTTGGTGAATTTGAGATGCTGTGGGCAAAACCACTGAAGTAGGTGAAAGATTACAAAACAAACAAAATGCTAGAAAGGTAAGAGGTTTTTGATCTTGCTCGCACTCGGCAGCATCACAGCAGTCTACCGGAGTCTGTTGTATTAGTATGTCCCATAATGGCTCCCGATGCAACTTGTCCTTTTTCTGTTTGTCATGAGCTCCTACAAAAATTCATCTTCCTCATGAGACTGTGAATGAGAACTCCAAGTTGCAAAGTAATATAAAAGGGGTCCAGTTAGCATAAGAGAGGTGAATAGAAGGTTCCCAAAGTATTTCCGGGCAGCGGCTGGTTACTCTATAGTAGCAGACCCACAGTTTCTGTGTGGCCTTGAATTCAGGGAATGCAAGGAACCTGTAGTGTCTGCTGTTAGTGCAGCCTAGGCGCTAATCAAATATATGATCTTCTAGTTCGAGCCTTTGCATACCCTACTGAACTATCCTGTATCCGTCTTAGTGCTTGTTCGTGTTCGTAAATGCAAATTACAAGTGACTCTTTTCACGTGAGTAATGGTCGAGATAAAGTTATTGCAGATCAGGATAGATTCTGTACGCAGTTGCATACTATCTTGAGGATGAAGGAAAAGAGTGCACGTTTGCAAAGGAAAGAAAAAATTAAAAGGGTGTGAATGCCAGCTGGGGCAGTCTCATCCCTTTGCCAGTACATCAGTGGGTTAGGATGGGATGGGTTAGTAAGAAAAAGAAATTGTTAATTCCCATGATACTGAAATAATATTCAGTTACAGAACAGAATATAGCACTTGGGTAATATTGCAAAGACACACCATTAAACAGTTATTTATATTGCATGCTCCCACAATAAAGTGAGTACCTTGCTCCATTAGCTTTGTTTGTATGCAAGTTAAATGTGACAAGAGACGCATATTTAAAACCTGTGTTTGCAGAGCAAATGTTCTGTGTTTTGGCAGATACAAGCAGATGATGAACATCATCGATTGTAGATGAATATCCATGTTGCACTTAGTATGTGGTTTGTAGGTCATTCTGTAAGATCTTTGTAACATTTCCAAACCACTGCTAGCCCTGACTGAAACTGAAGCTCAAGTTTAGATTTTTAAGAAAACACTGGAAAAAACGAGTTCATCTTACAGTAAAGATATAGGTAGTATACTATCCTAGCCAGCTGCCTTTTTTTTAGTAGACTGGGATTTTGGAGGAAAAATGTATTCTATTTATATTCCTAGTACACATCTCTATCGAGTGGGATGTTACGTTGAACTAAATACTGTAACAGACGTGAATTTTTCAAACAAACTTACATGAACATGTAGCTGACAGAATGTTCGTGTATTACAAGCTCCTTTTCCAGATTTTCATTGTACAGATCAACCTGTAATGCTTCCCCAGCCTGAGGGCCTAAAAATTGAATGGAACTAAAACTGAATGTTATTGTCTCATAGCATTTCTTTTGATCCCCTTTGGAATGTGTTTGGGCTAGTAACTTTTAGTTTTGTGATTTCAGTTGCCTTTTCAGAAAACCACATCTGATTTATTTTAGTTTTTACTAAATATGAGGAAGCATGATCTTCTCCTGTTTCCTCTGCACTGGGAAAAACTTCATCGCTCAGGAGGTCACAGCAGGTGCTTTACCTGAGAGTAAAATGACACGGTAAACCTCCTCCTCAGTCTGTTTTGTTTGTATTTTGTTGGCTGAAGCAGCGAGCACATGGTTTTCCAGTTCAATTACTGTGATTTTCTGCCAGATTTATTGTTGTTGAACTGGGTGTAAGCATACTTACTATGTAGATGGGATGCTGTCTCCATAGCAAGGATTTTAACAAGATTTCCATTTGAATTTTTCCTGCCAAACTGACGTTACTGCTATTGTATTTTCACATATA